TTGTTTTTTTTGTTTTTAGTTTCTTCAAGGTCGAGGTTATTGCAGGTGTTTGGGAAACAACCGCCGCCACCGAGTTCTTACAAGTATGTCAACTGGTTATATACTTTATGTTTGTCTTCAAAACCTAACAAATCAAGGGAAGGAGGGCGAAGCATCATATGAAGGAGACGACCATAGTCATCCATCATCTGATAATCACAACCTTTACCTTTTGTTAAAAATCATCAAAATTGTATGTTAAAAAAATGCAATTGAAAAAAAAAAAAAACATTTTTATTTCTTGGAGAAGCAAAGTTAAAGGAGGGTGGAGCATCATATGAAGGAGATGACGGTAGTCATCCATCATCTGATAATCACAACCTTTACTTTTTTTTATTAAGAATCATCAAAATTGTATGTTAAAAAAAATTAATTGCAAAAAAAGAAAAAGAAAAAAAAACATTTTTATTTCTTGGAGAGGTGGTGATGAGGCCGTGATTGATAAACAAAAGAAATTCAATTCTTGATGAATACATATGATTGGTTGCATGACGACGTTCGAATTCATGACTAATCTAACAAAATCTATCGTTTGACAAAAAAAAAATCGAAGCTTTGGATTTTTAGGGTTGTATTGTTTTTAATTTGGACGGTATTAAAGTATATTGAAGTGTGACTTTAGTTATATTTGAAAGTTTTTATAAAAACTGACATTTATAAAATTAGAGTCTTAATTTTGATTATTTATGATAAATACTCTTATTTAACTCTGACTTGGTAAATACAAGAACACAATGGTAGTGACAATTGTGGTTGTAGTGGTAGTGGGGGGTGGCGGCATCAATGATAGTGGTAGTTGTAGTGGTAATGGTGGCAGATATGGTTGTGGCGGTGGTTGTATTGGTAATTGACACACACCGATCTGGGATGTCTACTTGGACTCCGAATGGAGCTGTGCTAGCTGACACCATGCTGATGACAAAGCCATAAAGTGTAATGATGTGGAAAATGTGAGTAAATTTAAATCTAAAAGTGCCTAAATGTATGAGTGCACTTGTGAGCAGGAATGAATCCAATTCACACATGATGTCAGAGCGTAAGAAAAGTATAGTAAAGGTAGGATAAGAATTATACCGCCGAGGGTAATCACCTATACCTAGTTTGCCAAGAATCCTCGTTGACACGAAAACTCAGCTACTAAAACCTGGAGGGACGAAAAATAAGGGTGAGTGGGCCTAAAAATAAAGCTTTGTAAAAACCTTTTCGAAAACATAATAACCCCTCACCGTAAAACAAGTATAGTTTCCAAAATATACATACTATGTATAGTATGTAAATACTTACAGTAGCCTACAAAATCTCAAGAATTCAATACATATCAAAAGTCGTAAATAGGCATATAACTTCCAATAATCGCAATATCTTGCAGAAATAAACATATCACATCGAGTGCTCATCGATATATGCTGACACACGAGTTCATGCAGAGGTATTCTGAAATGAACAAGACTCGGTGTAATAATAATTTACGCTCTAATACTACAATCACGTGAAAACTGGAGCTATGCGCATCACATACGAGTCCTAATTGCTTATAGCAATCTAAGACAGGACTGGCACCGACAATGGATCCAAAGTGAGCGTATGGTGCAATGTGAACATACACGTGAAAGTCTGGTCCTGGCCTGGTTCAACTGAGCTCGCTGGAGAACGTAGTATACGGCGTTAGGGCTCGCTTGCCCTGTGTTGCACAGAGAACACAGAGATAGAGTTTGAAATGAGAGGTGAGGGTGAGAGATGAGAGAGATAAAGGGGATAGGATACCTAAAACATGAAAAACATCATTTTTTTTGCACAAAGTATGGATCATGGTTGCAAATAGCACTCATAACTTTGTTGAACAAACTTCATTGCATTCTAAAATGACGTCTAAAAATATGATCAAGGAATAAACTATTAGGGATAAAATAATCTTCCAAGAGATCTTTACCTCGTCTTTCCATCTTTCTATCCAAGTTTGCAACACGTCTGGGTTTGGATATTTGACCCACAGCTTCCATGACATGACGGGAATGTGAGGCTCTCTGCCTTCTATGTTTATCACCCTCATCCTCTTCCATTGCGAAATCCTTATCTCTACCTTCCTCAAGATTGAACAATTATTCTTGTTATGCCAACAATCTTTTATGTTGATCATTGATTTCATACAATCTCCTTGAAGAAGACATGATAAGAACTTAAGATTTAAAAATGATGAAGAATGATTCTGAGCTAAAAAAGAAGGATTGAGTTTGGTGTATGAATGAGGATGGATGTAGGGTTTATATGGACAAAAAAAGAAAGGATGAGGTTCTAGACAATGCCACGTGGCATTACGTGATTGGTTGAAAATCTTATCAAAATCTTGGCTAAACTATTGTAAACAGATAGTGACACGTGACTCGTTGGGATTGGTTGAAAATCTTATCGAAAATCTATATGAAAAATAGTACGTTCGGATGATGACACGTGGCATGACAAGATTGGTTGAAAATCTTATCAAAATCTTGGCTAAATTATTGTAAACAGATAGTGACACGTGGCGCATCAGGATTGGTTGAAAATCTTATTGAAAATCTATCCACAAAATAGTACCTTCGGATAATGACACATGGCGTGACAAGATTGGTTAAAAATCCTATCCAAAATTAAAACTAAATTTTTTATTTATTATTTTATTAAAAAAATTAATAATATTTTAAATGGGCTAGGTGCCAGCGCATTTTGTCGATTCTGCTTACGACTACGCGTTCGTACCGTCGAGTACTTCGAGAATACTATAAAATAGTAACTCGTACGCGTCACGAAAAGACAGTCAACGAAAGTCAACAATCTCACCTCAGGGGCATTTTCATCAATTCACTCTTTTAAAATTAATAAAATTGTAAAATTAGGGACGGATTGTCATAGTAATGGTGGTGGGTATGGTTGTAGCGGTGGTTGTAGTAGTGGTGGTGGCGCGATTGTGGCGTAGTGGTGATGGCAAAAATGGTGGTGATAGTGGCAATGATAGTGTAGAAGGAGCATTTGTAATAGTAAGTGGTGGTGGTCACTCTCCAAAGATAAATTGTGTCAAGACGGATGCATACTGTAATTGTTTTAAATTAATGATCGAATTAAAAAATAATCATTAAAGGCTTAACTCTACTTTTTATTAAGACAACTTTAAAAGCAACATACATGCTACTTTTGTTGATGCACAAAACTAGAGGTCTTGGAACAACGTAAATCTGCATGAAATGTAAATAACACAAGATGTATCGTGGTTCACCCCAACGTTTGGGTTACGTCCACACTGATATTGTATTTCTCTGAGAGGATTGTGAGGGAGAGAACCTCTGTAATGTGAGAGGGTGAGGGGGCTTCAGGCCTAAGAGTTGGCCTCCTCCAATTGTGAGGGTGAATAGTCCTTTTATAGAATAAGGGCTCCTCACTTATTACATATTTGCCCCTTCTTTTATTACATAATTACACTCCAGTCCCCCGAGTATTTATATGAGATCTAAATACGGAGGCCCTAAGTATGGTATAAACAGTAATCCCCAAAATCTTCAGTCAAGAGAGTCTTTTGGTTGGAGACTTGAAATTCAGTCCATGTGAGGGCCGAAGTAACTAGATGTCATCTAGAACTGATACTCGATATGAGGCGGTGCTCACTCTGAAATGATGCTCAACTAGAAGTAGCACATGTTGCAAGGCTACTCTGCTTGTGGCTTATGTTGCCTTGGTTGGCTCGGCTTGTGGCATTTGAAGGTGAGGGAGTCCCTTTTATAGAATAAGGGCTCGCTCCTCAATACATAAATATGGGCTAGAGTTGATGCTCGCGGCGAGACGGTTGCTCAGTAAGCGGCGATGCTCTCTAATGATGGTGAGGGAGTCCCTTTTATAGAATAAGGGCTCGCTCCTCAATACCTGAATAATGGGCTAGAGTTGATGCTCTCTAATGATGGTGAGGGAGTCCCTTTTATAAAATAAGGGCTCGCTCATCAATACATGAATAATGGGCTAGAGTTGATGCTCTCTAATGGTGGTGAGGGAGTTCATTTTATAGTATAAGGTATCGCTCCTCAATACATAAATAATGGGCTAAGTCCCCCAAGTATTTTTCATGAGGCCTAGTTGAGGCCCAATATATGGTACATAATGTAGTCCCCCAAGTCTTTGGTCAATAGAGTCTGTTGGCTAGAGACTTCAAATTAAATCCAGAGATGGGCCGAAGTGGCGGTTGTTCGGAGGTGGTATTGCTCTTTAATGATGGTGAGGGAGTCCCTTTTATAAAATAAGGGCTCACTCATCAATACATGAATAATGGATGCTCCCTAATGAAAGTAAGGGAGTCATTTTTATAGAATAAGGGCTCGCTCCTCAATACATAAGTAATGGGCTAAGTCCCCAAAGTATTTTTCATGAGGCCCAGTTGAGGCCAAGCAAAACAGAGAGAGAGATCTACGAAGGTTTTTTTTTTTTTTGAAACAGCCGAGGGAGGTTCTAGGTTTCTGCAAATTCACGGCGGAGGTAAAAAAATGAAAGAGAATCGACATAGCTTTTCGTGTTGTTTCCCACAGACGACGCCAAATGTTGATGCACAAAATCAGTGAGGACTTTGGTACAACAGAAAATGTTAAGTTTGTGACCTTCGCTAGATTGCTCCGGTCACTAGTGTGGATAAATATGTAAATGGATAGGGACAGGGAAGCAAACACAAAATAATGTGGTTCACCCAGATTGGCTACGTTCACGGAGTAGAGGAGTTCTCATTAATTGTGAAGGGTTTACACAAGTACATAGGTGTACTAAATCATTCACTAGTACTCACTAAAGGAGAGCTTGAACCTATGTACTTGTGTAAACCCTTCACAATTAATGAGAACTCCTCTACTCCGTGGACGTAACTAATCTGGGTGAACCACGTACATCTTGTGTTTGCTTCCCTATCCCTATCAATTTACATACTTATCCACACTAGTGACCGGAGCAATCTAGCGAAGGTCACAAACTTAACATTTTCTGTTGTACCAAAGTCCTCACTAATTTTGTGCATCAACATTTGGCGCCGTCTGTGGGACACGAAAAGCTATGTCGGTTCTCTTACATTTTTTTACCTCCGCCATGAATCTGTAGAAACCCAAAACCTCCCTGGGCTGTTCAAAAAAAAAAAACCTTCGCATATCTCTCTCTCTCTGTTTTGCTTGTTTAATCTTCTCACTCTAACATTACAGTAGTCTGGATCTTTTGATTTTCATAATCTATGGAAACAAGTCCCTTCATCTTCATCTTCATCTGAAAACTTATCATGCCCAATATTTATGCTCTGGGAATCGAACTTGTCAGACTTGAAGACATTTAGGCCTTCCTTGAGCTTGACGCCATTCTCTTTAACCAGCGCGCCTCACGACCGAGCCGTCTTCACCGAAGCCATGAATCGCTGGACAGATCAGATCAATCAGCTAAACCAGAAGCTCTGAAACTCGAAAGAATCTAAGCCTCCACAGACTAAGATCCCCACCGTCACTCTCGATGTCGTCTCCGCCTCCTTGGCTGAGCTGCAAATTTTGGACGGAGGCGCGCTCGGAAAATGTTTTGAACTTCGCGAATCTACCAGAGAACATGAAGTGGCTGAAGACGGCGAGGTGGAGGATGCACGAGCATCGAAGCTTGCTGTCAAAGAGTTTGTGACGAGCCGTTTGGTTCGAGATGAGCCAGACTTGGACGTCAAGGTTGCTTCTAATCAACCAGATTTGGTTCTCTCGCTGTCAGTCTCTCTCCCAGTTTCCCATGCACAAAAATCGGAGCTTGCTGTCAAAGAGTTCGTGACGAGCCATTTAGTTCAAGATGAGCCAGACTTGGATGTTAAGGTTGCTTCTAATCAACCAGATTTGGTTCTCTCGCCGCCAGTCTCTCTCCCAATTTCCCATGCAGAGCATCGGAGCTTGCTGTCAAAGAGTTCGTGACGAGCCGTTTGGTTTGAGATGAGCCAGACTTGGACGTCAAGGTTGCTTCTAATCAACCAAATTTGGTTCTCTCGCCGCCAGTCTCTCTCCCAGTTTCCCATGCAGTTTCTGTCACTTCGTCTCTACCTGTAAACGCCAGCGCATCGTCTTCCTCATCGCATCCCGTTTCCTCCAAGTAACATCAAGAACCTCCTGACCTGCAAACGGATCGAAGGGTCGAGAGTACATGACCCATGAAAGAATAATATAGTCGGTGGCGCTGCAGCCGGCCAAAGTGGAGGTTACTCGAAGCTGGGGTTGTCCTACAGCTCCATGTGCAGCTTCAGAGATGTCATTCATGGCAACACTAAGGTCGTTCACAAAGCTAACCACTCGTCGCCATCCCTGGCCCATGCCATCATCCACTACACGACCATAAACGTCACCCCACAACGAACCATGAAAGAAGTCTCCGTCTCCGCTGCAGTCCTTTCCCAAAAATCACCCTGCAACTTTCTAGTTTTTGGCCTCGGCTTTGACAACCTCATATGGACGGCTCTCAACCACGGCGGAAGAACCATCTTCCTCGAAGAAGACAATTCATGGATTGACCAGATCAAACAGAAGCTACCGGGTTTGGAGGCTTACCACGTGGAGTACGACACCAAGGTTCACCAAGCGGATAAGCTCATGGAGATGGGAAGGAAGGAAGAGTGCAGGGCTGTCGAGGATCCAAGGTTTACATTCTTTACAGCTGGAGTACACCAGCTTGTGTTCAAACAGCAGAAAAGAGAAAAGTGAAAAACAGAAACAAAAGCAAAAGGAAAAGAAAAAAAGAAAAAGAAAAATGAGGAGTGATAGGCACGACCAGGCTGTCCAAGAAAAGCAAGTGGAGTTAGCCTTCCAGTTTCGCCAAGAGACAGAGACAGAGACGCAGTGGAAAGCAAAAGGAAAACAGAAAGAAATGGAGTGGGAAAAGCAAAAGCAAACCAAAAAAAAAAGAAGCAAGGAATAAACATACCATCAGAATGATGTAATTTATTTTTATCTTTCGGAGACATCTGTATAAACCCCATCGAGGGTTAAAAAAAAAAAAAAAAAAAAAAAAAAAGGGCTACAAGCCCAAAATAATGGGCTGCAATGTCATGTGGAGGGCAAATGCCCATATGCCCAAAAGAGTCAGACCCTTTATTATCACCAACCAGGTGACCAAAAGTACGTCCAGTACTCCACAATTATTCGGTAACCTGCCGCTATTACCACCAACCAGGTGATCAAAAGTACGCCTAGTACTCCAAAATTATTCGGCAACCTGCCGCTATTACCACCAACCAGGTGATGAAATGTACAACCCGTACTCTAATATCATTTGACAACTAGCCATTCATGCCACCAACCAGGTGATGAAAATGTACAACTCGTACTCTCCTTCATGCCACTAACCAGGTGATCAAAAGTACGCCCAGTACTCCAAATTATACATGAGCATTACTTATGTCATTCATACATAAACATTCATGAGCATCACTCATAACAATCATACATAAACATTCATGACCATCATTCATGTCAACATTCATGAGCATCACTCATGTTAACATTCATGAGCATCACTCATGACAACATCCATGAGCATCACTCATGTTAATCAACATAAACATTCATGAGCATCACTCATGTCAAACAACTTCAAAAACTTCATTTATAGAGCTCTAGCTTCAAAAGCTTCATTTACAGAGCTCTAACTTCAAAGCTTCACTTGCAAAGCTTCACCTACAAAGCTTCAGTGCAAGGTATACATATACCGCCTCCGAACAACCGCCACTTCAGCCCATACATGGATTCAATTTGAAGTCTCTAGCCAACAGACTCTATTGACCGAAGACTTGGGGGACTACATTATGTACCATATATTGGGCCTCAACTGGGCCTCATGGAAAATACTTGGGGGACTTAACCCATTACTTATGTATTGAGGAAATAGCCCTTATTCTATAAAATGGACTCCCTTACTTTCATTAGAGAGCACCCATTATTCATGTACTGAGGAGCGAGCCCTTATTTTATAAAAGGGACTCCCTCACCATCATTAGAGAGCAACGCCGCCAGCTGAGCAACCGCCTCGTCGCGAGCATCACTCCTAACCCATCACTTATGTATTGAGAGGCAAGCCCTTATTCTATAAAAGGGACTTCCTCACCATCATCACAGAGCATCAACTCTAGCCCATCATTCATGTACTGAGGAGCGAGCCCTTATTCTATAAAAGGACTCCTTCACCTTCAAACGCCGCAAGCCGAGCCAACCAAGGCAATATAAGCCACGAGCTGAGCGGCCTTGCAGCGTGTGCTACTTCTGGTTGAGCGTCATTTCAGATTGAACACTGCCTCACATCGAGCATCAGTTCAAGACAACATCTAGTTACTTCGGCCTACACATGGACTGAATTTCAAGTCTCCAGCCAAATGACTCTCTTGACTGAAGACTTGGGGGACTATTGTTTATACCATATTTAGGGCCTCGTATTTAGACCTCGTATAAATACTCGGGGGACTTAAATGTAATTATGTAATAAAGGAATGAGCAAATATGTAATTAGGAGATGAGCCATTATTCTATAAAAGGGCCTCCTCACCCTCACAAACCCTAAGCCTTCTCACATCCCCTAAGCTCTAAGCTCTCATGCTCTCTCCCTCACAAACAGAGAAATACAATATCAGTGTAGATGTAGCCCAAACCTTGGGGTGAACCACGATACATCTTGTGTTATTTACATTACTTGCAGATTCACGGTCAGATTTACGTTGTTCCAAAACCTCCGGTTTTGTGCATCAACACAATTATTCATATGATTAGTTGAATTGACTATTTATTCATTGAATAATTTGTACGCTTATTGGTATAGCTTAATTGAATTGTTAGTTGGATTAATTATTATGCATATTAGTATAGTCTACTCTAGGATTAAGAGTGTAAGAATTTTTTTTTCCTCTTCATTTTACAGTTACGTAATGGAACGATACTATAAGAAACAATGCTTAAATCTTCCTTCAAACATTTCGGGTAGTCCTTCTTCTTCAAATATTCCAAGTGGTCCTCCTCCTCCTTCAACTTCAAATATTCCAAGAAGTCCTCCTTCAAGTATTTCAAGTAGTTCACAACAAAGTGAGGCCACTGAGTTAGATGAAATATTGGTTAATCTTCCTGCAGACCCTAGACATAGACTTCAAATGCTTGATTATCCACCTAATTATCGTGAAGCAATTCGTAGACACTACCTAACTTCGCCCATCCCCCCGTCAATTCCTGGCTTCGCCACTGGGTTAAATTATCAAATGTTAGGGAAGAAGAATCAATGGAGATGGAGATCAAACTCGCACTAGAATGCATATTTTCTTCCACTGCATTAAGACGTCATTTACAGAATTATTGTATTTTTAAACCTTGTTATCTACAAAATTAAATTTTCTATCCAAGAAATTTTTTTAAGAAAAAATTTACTACTATTAGGCGATTCGGGAGAGTTCGGAATTATCACAATAATTTAAAAGATACAAGAGTTTTGAACTCAAAACACATAAATATAAACCTAACATCCTATCCACTAAAAGACCACATGCTTCTATCCAAGATAATACTTGAGAAAGGAGACGCTCCTGAATAACCACTATTTAAAGTTTAAACCATAATCCGTACTTTGTCCTAGCCTAGTGCACGGGTGTCGTATCGATGTTGAATATATATCATGAACATGTTGCAACGTTTTGTCAGCGACAATGACACATAATATCAATACCATATCGACAATTCGTTCTTTAACCCACTGCAATTTATTTTGAACTAATCAGCATCAACGCAGATTAAGAGTTAAGATAGGTCAAGGGTTCAATCCTTTCCTGTGTACCGAAAATAAATACATACGAAACAAACACATGTTAAACTCATAAACTTAGAGATGCAGCATACAAAATTGCAAGCATATACGTAGATGAAGTTCGAAATAAGTTCAGGTTTTGACTCCGGTCGTCCTGCTGTCGCGGCTTTTGCAACAGATTCCGATCAGTCATCATCGTCGTCATCTGTTCTGCCAAAACGATAAGGAAAACAAAATTCATGTCAGCAACAAAATCTTAAATCACCCCACAGCATGCATGATTCAAATCCTTTCAACAGACAGCTAAAGCTCCCGTTAACATTATAGAAAAAAATTCATTCAACAACCAAATCGGATTAACAGTCCTTATGGTGACCGGGTAATTTTTTCCGAAGATTCCCCTCGTAGGTTTAAATCCCAAGTTTTTTTTACCAAAGGGTCTATCTTCTGAATGTCCTATCACCATGAGGACCATTAATCCAATTTTGCCTAATTCAAATGATAACCCCAGATCCATCGAATAGAGGTCAACAAATATTGAAATAGCAAGGCAAATCAAGGTCATCAACCGAATATATTATAGGTCAACATTTAAAAACTTATCCACGTATGATATTCATTAGATTCGCATTATAATTGTCCAACTTATTTTATATATATATACAACAGCAAACAAACCTTATTCCACTAAGTGGGGTCGACTGTATGGAATCCTAGAACACCACTGAGCTCGGTTTTGCATGAGATGAAAAAAAGGAACTAACTCATTATACCTCATATTTGTCGATTTCAATAATCCAAAAAGCATATTAGAGAGACATGAAAATCTAAATGCCTATTTCCACTGCCCTCATGTAAGCATACCCTAAAGAAAAACACACCTCTCATGTAACTGGCAAAAAAAATAAAATAAAGCAGAACTCTAAAGAAGACTGAAATAGTGACCATTCTTGTACGTAAAGGAAGACTGTTTTTCAACAACACCACTCTCTAGCATTCTGGAACATTCGCAACCAGGGACTAGGGCCTTTCTTTTCCACATCCCATTGCTTGGGATACCAGGGGAATTGCCACATCAAGAAGCAACGCTCTGGATGAGGCATCATGGCTAGATGCCTCCCATCTGGAGAACAAATTGCTGCAACCCCCAAGGGAGAGCCATTGACGTTGAAAGGGTAAACTTCTGTCTCATTACCATCATCATCGCAATACCTTACTGGTGCCAACTTTGAGTGAAGCAAACGATCAAGAACACCGTCGTCGGGAAATATGCTCTTCCCTCACCATGTGCAGCCCACACACCCAATGTACTGCCCTCCATTCCTTTAAACATTATAGCTGGCGAGTCCTTTATTGCCACACTGGTGAATCGGCATTCAAACCGTCCAGACTCGTTGTGAATGAACCTGGGCTGCGAAGGGTCCCCACCACCACCTAGCACACCACCAACTTGAGGACCCGGGACCCACCCCAGAAGGGCCATAAGCTGACACCCGTTGCAAACTCCAAGACTAAAAGTGTCTGGCCGCTTGTAAAACTCTTGAAATTGATTTAGAAGGGGCTGATTAAATCGAATTGATGCAGACCAACCTTTTGCAGAATCAAGCACATCAGCGTAGCTAAAACCTCCAACAAACGCAATTCCACGGAATTCTTGCAATGAAATGGTTCCATTAAGAAGGTCTGACATTGTAACATCCCAAGGTTCAAATCCAGAAGCATAAAATGCTGCCGACATTTCTCTGTCCCCATTGCTGCCTTCTTCTCGAATTATAGCCACTTTTGGTTTGCAAGCGACGGTCATATACTTTTCATCTGTGAAAGACGGAGTGAAGGACAAATCCCATGAAGGCTCATGCCTATCTTTCAACCCTTCTTTTTCTAGATCTACACAAGAAGCCAACCTTTGTAGTCTTTCCAGCTGAAAACTAGTGTCCTCCCACAAGTCCCTTAGAAAAGAAGTACTCTCATTCAAATGTGTAACCCCATCAACCTTTAACTCTACTGAGGGTGTGGCACTAACTTGACCAATAATCTCAGCCAAAATACTGTTACTGCTCAGTTTTTCCAACACCAAATCTAAGTTATTCCGGCTTACCTCAATAACCAGACCAAGTTCTTCAGCAAAAAGAATTTGGAATAGGCTCTTCCCATGTGAAGTCAAGTCCAAAGTAATGCCACAATTCCCAGAAAATGCCATTTCAAGGGCACAGACCAGTAGCCCACCATCACTAATATCATGACCAGCAGAGATCAATTCGTCAGAAAGAAGGTCCTGAACTCCCTCAAAAACTCGTTTTAGATAAGGAACGTCCTCAATGTCAGGGCAATCATTGCCAATTTGGTCAAAAACCTGAGCAAGAGCAGACCCACCTAACCTCCGCTTTCCCTTTGCCAAATCAATGTGAAGCAGCACGCCATCATCCTTGAGCTTTAAATCTGGGGTTACTGTTTTTGTTATGTCAGGACAAGTGCAATAAACACTCATTACAAGATTGCCAGGTGCCTTAACAACCTCGCCTGCAACATGGGCTGCCATGGAAAGACTGTCCTTCCCACCATCAATTGCAATACCAAGTTCGATCATTGCCTCTGAAAGAGCTGTAGCAGCATCATACATAGCTGCTCCTTCCCCATTAAGCTTGGCTGCATACATCCAATTCCCGCTCGCTTTAACATCAGATAGAGAAGTGACCTTTGCCCAAACAAGATTTGTGAGTGCTTCTCCAACAGCCAATCTCGCCATTGCTTTTGGATCCAACAAACCTTTGATTGGCTGTTCCCCAATGGCACATGCACCTCCAGTCAGGTCAGTAAAAGTCTGCGCTATTACTGCAACATCAGATAGAGGAATTTGCAAGGGCCCAACAGTTTGCTGCTGTGCTACAAGACCTGTAACACACCTGTCTACTTTGGATGTCAAGAAGCGCTTTGAACAAACAGATGGAAGTCTCAACACCCTCTTAAGTGAATCCATCACTGTTATTCCAGGAGCAATATCAAGTGGTTCTCGTGCATCAGTCGTCCTGTGGAATTCAAAACTTTTCTGTGGCATATCACCAAGTACTTTTTCAAGCTCTAAATCGACAGCAGGAGGAGGGGGAGGGATTCCACTAGATTCACATTTTTTAATAGCTAAGCTATCAATTAAAACAGCACGTCCCTCACCATTTATTGTTCCAATAACAGCCATAGAAACCCTTTCTCTTTCACATATTGATTGCAAGAGGTGGCGGCTTTCAGGCTTCACCAAGATTGCATCTTGCTCCTGGTATTCTGCACCCCATATCTCCAAGACAGACATTGTGTGATCACCAACTACAATTGCCCGGATATCAATCTGGCCGCCCTTGGGGTATATAATTTCCTTAACAACATTGCAGTTTCCACCTGCCCCCTGATCATGAATGCTAATGATAGGGTTATTCTCCCCCATCTCAATACAGGCACGGACCACACGATAAAGTTTCTGTGCCATCTCTGCATCTCCACGCTGTACAGCATTAAAATCAAGCTCCGCATCATTCTGGCCACTAACCATGCTCGATGCTGCCCCACCCCCCATTCCAATACGATAAGCAGGGCCTCCAACTTTAACAACCAGCATACCAATGTCAGGCTCACCTTTTGTTATATGGGTGTGATCAATCTGCCCAATGCCTCCACTAAACATGATTGGCTTCAACCATTCTCGCCTGTCTCCACTTGGAAGTCTCATTCCAAATGTTCTAGTGTAGCCCTGAATCAAGGGCTCACCAAATTTGTTCCCATAGTCTGATGCACCATTGCTAGCATCTATAAGGATCTGCAGAGGTGGAGCCAAATTTGATGGATAAGCAAAAGACGGATCTTCCCAAGGTGCATAAGAGCCCTCCATATTGAGATTCCCAACACAATAACCAGCTGTAGATGCTACAACAAAAGACCCTCTTCCAGTCGCATGGGTATCCCTGATTCGACCTCCGGCGCCTGTCTCTGCACCAGGGTAAGGCGCTACAGCACATGGGAAATTATGGGTCTCAGCAGTAAATAAAATATCAAGGTCCCGAGTAGCTATGCTCAATGGACATGTTGAACCTGGCTGAACCGGTCGCATTTGCTTCACAAGAAACCCCTTGATTGCACTTGAGTTATCCTTGAAGCCAATTACAGAATTGTTTGGGTTTGCCCGCAACGTGCTCTTCACAATCTGCATCAGAGTTCTATCCATAGGCTGTCCATCTATAATCATTTTGCCAGTAAAAAACCAGTGCCTACTATGCTCACTGTTGGATTGTGCAATATCAAACAGCTCAACTTGTTGGATTCCTTTGGATTTCGTCCTTGAATAGCCTAGTGTAGTACTGGAGATCCTGCTCATCAAATGCCAAACCCATTTCTTGATTTATCTCCTCCAATGCCTTCCGACCCCTCTCCATGACATGTACATGACGAACTTCATCCGGAACTACACTCGTTTCAAAAGAAACTAGCTTCTGGGCATACACACACTCAGTCATTCGATCATGAACCAGTGCAGCAAACTCATTAATCTGATGATCATGAAGTGATCCCTTACTAAACAGCAAGTACCTCCTTGACCGTTCCAAACGAGTCACCTCTGTCAACCCACATGCTCGACAAATCGATACAGCATTAGAAGACCAGGCTGTTGTAAATGACAACCTAGGACCAACCTCAATAATAACTGTACTAAGCCCTTCCTGCTTTTTCTTTTCAAGAAAGCTCTCAGTCCCCAAATTCTCGGGCTCATAAGTCTCCTGAAGAAGCCACTTCAAAACCAAAACCTTGTCGCTAGAAAGCGCCGAGTCAAGGCCAATGTTGAAGCACTGCTCAGTTTTCAAACCAACAGTCTGATTCGTAATCTTTGTCTGAACCGTCTTGAGAAGCTCAGCTGTTGCACTCTCCTGAATGAGCGGGATGCGAAAAAAATGAGTAACTTCAGCTGCAGGCTTCTCAACCAAGCTTGACTGCTCATCATCTACCAAGCTGCTCACACCACCTGAAACCACAGCTCTGGGCTTTTCTTGAGCACGACACCTCAAAGAAACACCTCTCCTATTACCAAAACTGGGAGCTGAACTTCGCCCGTGAAGCGAGCCCCAAAGCACCTGGCTTCTTCCTTTAACCGACTTCCTCTGCAAAAAAAGGCTCTGCCTATTCGTGCCCTGCCAAATAAAACCAAACAACATACAGATTTCGATTTCGATCGACATTTTCTACCAAAATGCTACAATCCTTCATAGCAATAAAAACAAACAAATGGTAACGAAGAATACTTACTTGTAAGAACTCGGCGGCGGCTGTTTCCCGAACACCGGCCATACCCTCGACCTTGAAGAAACTAAAAACAAACAAAAAAATCCAAAACTTAATTTCCAGAAAAATTGATGCTTTACATTGAAACAAACACAGAAGCAGAGTAAAAAACCCACCTCACCTTCAATTCAATTCGATTACTAATCAGTCGGGTGTGGAAGTCGACAAGTATCCGACGAGCGAGAGAAAGGGCTGTTAATTACTGGCCAAGACCAAACGAAAAAAAGCAGGAGAAGTTTTTGGGAGAGGGAGGCGCGCGATGGAGATGCTGAAGCAGGGTAGTGTATCAATTCTGAGGGTTTAGAGTAATTATGTATCAATTCTTAGGCATTTAGATCTATCCATGTATTCTTTTTTTTTTTTTCTTTTTTTGTCATAATTGATAATTTTTATAAAAATTAACATTTATGAAATTAGAAATTAAAGTTTAATAAACGTCCTTCAATTTTAGCAAAACTTCGTTGAGATGATCTTTCAATTCTATTACGGTTCAAATTATGAACCGGCCCTATATGGAAAAGGATTCTCATAAATTGGTTTATTTCGGTATTTAAATTGTTTGACCTTCTTCAAACCAAACCGATCAAATCGATTCATATGGATGAAAACATTTACCCTGCTCGTGAAATGTTAAAGGTAATTCTGTCTCAATAAAACTAGGAAACTTTAACGAAAATTTCTCGGTATTTTTCATTTTAACGAAAAATCACATTTTTACACTAAAAAGTCAATCCTGGTACAGTTCACTTTACCTTTTATTTTGTCCTTATCGTTAAAACTCAAAATTTTCAAGCTATTTTCATTAGTTTTCCTTTAAAAGTATATACCAATTTCTACTTTGTGTGTTTCAATCCAAATAATCGGGGACTTGAATTTTCATACATTCCATGAGCTCTTGTTCTAAATTTGAATGCACACAGTTGTACATAGCATGATCCCTACATTTCTAAATGTGAATGAGCAAAACGTGATACATATTGACACCATCAACCGACGATGGTGGAAGAAGTTGAGAGGGAATTTGTGAAGAGAAAGTCAAGCAAATTAGACATTCTTTTTGCTTGTGTTTACGACTAGCTCATGAGAATATTGTGACTTTCGAGTTCCCGACGGGTCTTACGAAATCATGAGTGACTGCTCTCCTTGGTCTTTCCATTACCCCTTGCTGCCTCCACCTGAAAATCTTAATAGCGATCACGGCTGGTGGACCTCTCACGGTGACGGGACTTGTGCCGCTTGTGAGCACGCTCATCCTTATCCCTCGAGCTCCTTTTGTGACAATGCTCATCCCTATCCCTAGAGATCCTCCTGTGAAAGCGCTCGTCCCTATCCCTAGAGCTCCTGTGAGAGCGTTCTGCTCTGTCAACCGAGCTCCTGTTGTGATAGTGTTCTTCTGTCTCAGTTGATCTCCTTACAGAACTGTCTTCTGGGTCAATAGATCTTTTGTAAAACCTTTCTTCGTTCTCCACAGGACTATTTTTGCACATGTTCGCTTCCCTGTCCATGGACCTTTTATGGGTACTTTCTTCTCTATCCATGGAGCTCCCTTTCCTTCTAGGTGGGGACGGGACCTACAAACACAAACGAGAAACAAAGACTCTGTGATAGAAGTTCCATGAGGAAAGATCTGATAATGCTCAAAAGCTAAACGATCTAAACTGCTTTGAGCAACTGCTACTAGCTATAGGCTGCAGGAATCAGGGAGGAAAATACATGGCTAATGGGACCAAAAGAAGAAAAATACCTGATAGGGTGACATGTATCTTCCTTCTAGTGGAGGTGGGATCCCAAGTCTCTCCAGCTCGTCATACGGGATTGGACGCCTGGTTACCAAGATAAATAAAAGGTAAAGAGTCGGTACATCTAATTCACTGCTAGTTTACGAAATATATTACATAATTAAGAAAGCTATGCATACAGGGGAGCTCGAAATGGTTTTTCTCTTCCTCCAAAACGAAGCTGTCCAGATTCCTTCTTACCACAGAAACCACCTCCTGGTAAAACAATAAAATCACATGAACTTGACCTCTATAGGCATATGCAAACTGAAGGTAGAAGAATACGAAAACTTCACTGACCTAATCTTCTTGGAATCCACCCTGGCATCAACTGCTGTCTGTTGTAATCAACAATAACTTTAGAATCATCAATCAGGGAATGGTGAGCTTCCTGCAAACAAGCAACTAATCTAAGTTCATCATAGACATGTTATGACACATGCAGATCGTATTTTCACATTGTCCCCTATTTTCTTTTCCTTAAACTTCTGGCTTGCCTCTTCATACCATTACGAAATATGTTATCCAACCACATAAAATTGATATGCATATGTCTTTTCTCACAACACTAGCAAGCACAGCCAATAAATTTAATTTCGTGAGAGAAGGATGTGTATATGAGAACAATCACCAATACCATTATGCTTGAAGCGAAATCCATCAACAGTACCAGAGTGTCATATTAGAATTCCCCGCCACATAAATATGCAAATACATATATGAAAATATATGAAGAGATTCCATATTGTATAGACTACAGAGAGTGCTTAAAAAGTTGCAGCACCTTATACGCACGCTGCATCTCCTTTTCGGTTTCATATTCAACAAAAGCATATCCACGCGAGGCACCAGTTACTGGAAAAATTGCACCAATCAAATTACAAAGATGGACTCTCATAGAATTGTGTTAAAAAAAAAAAATTGAACACATAAAACTTTGCAAACCAATATGCATAATAATCAAGAGCATTGTAGTTGTGATGTTTTGACATTCTATACGGAGCTCGAATTCAAAGCAAAATTAAGAAGCTCACCAATGTGCCTGACCAAGCGCAAGTTTTTGACCCGACCATACTTGCTCATAGCCTGAAAACCCAAATTCAAAATTCGATTTTAGACCAAGAATTTCCAGTGAATTGGATTTCTACCGATCACAGTCGAACAACTTTCTCTCTATTTCTTTCTTTGCTCAATTTTCTGAGCAACCAAACAGAATGTCAGAGAGAGAGAAAGAGATGAACCTTGCGAAGAGTGCGTTCGGTGGTGAGATGAGAAAGGTGACCGACAAAGAGAGTGCAAAAAGGGTCGCCGAGGAGCTTGGGATCGCCCAGGGGGTCATCTGCAAAAGTAAAAGAGTTACAGGGACAAAGTATAAGTAGAAAGAAGAAAGGGTGGGGAGATTAGAGAAAAAGGAAAAAAGAAGGAGAAGAGAGAGAATGTGTGGTTACAGAGGCCGGCGGAGGAGCAGAGGAAGGCTCGGTAGACGGCGTTGTCGTGCGGAAGTGTGTCAGTACCGTCTATGCTTCCCGCCTGAATCGGATGATACGCCTCCGCATAAAACACCGCGTTTAAGTTCCCGTTCACGTTTCGTCCGCCCCCGCTCATCGTCGCATAATCTCTCTCTGTCTTCAGAAGCAATGCAAATTCATGGACAAACAGGTGAGCTTTATAGAGTCTGGGCCCATTTTGTTTCCGGCCCACATTTTTGTTTGCAACGCATTGACTCAAACGGGCCAAGAAAATCTGATGATCAGCCCATGTTTTCTCGGTTTTGAACCGACGGAGCATATGGACTCAAAAAGTGTGGGTTTTCAAATGTACGGACAACATAGAGAATCGAATTCATTACAATTTAAACCCTCATTTCGGGTTCGAACTCCCATTAATATATTTTGTGCATCCAAATTCTCTCTCAAGATTTGGGCAGTCTCCAAGAAAAAGATATTCCAAGGACTTGAGTTGATCGATACTGCATGGCAGACATTTAAGATTCAAGCAGCCTTCAAGGCTCAAACTACAAAGCTCGGTAAGATTATTTATCGACAATGATAGTTCTTCAATTGCAGTCCCATCCAAACAAAGCAACTGAAGTTCTTCCATAACTTCTAAAATCTCTGAAAACTTCTCAAGATTTGAGCAGCCAACAAGAGTAAAATCTTCCAGGGACTTGAGTTGACAAATACTGCATGGCAGACTTTTAAGCTTCAAGCAGCCTTCAAGGCTCAAACCCCAAAGCCCCGTAAGATTATTTATCGACGATGGCAGTTCTTCAATTGCAGTCTCATCCAACCAAAGCGACCGAAGTTCTTCCATAACTTCTAAAATCTCTGTAAACCTCTCAAGATTTTTGGAGCCATCAAGATTAAAATCTTTCAGGGACTTGAGTTGGCAGATGCTGCTTGGAAGACTTTTAAGCTTCAAGCAGCCTTGAAGGCTCAATTAACTAAGCCCCGTAAGAGTATTTATCGACAACAACAATTCTTCAATTGCAATCTCATCCAAACGAAGCGACCAAAGTTCTTCCATAACTTCTAAAATCTCTGGAAACGTCTCAAGATTTGAGCAGCCAACAAGATTCAGGGACTTGAGTTGACAAATACTGCATGGCAGACTTTTAAGCTTCGAGCAGCCTTGAAGGTTCAAATTTCGAAGCCCTGTAAGATTATTTATCGACAATGGCAGTTCTTCAATTGCAGTCTCATCCAAATGAAGCCACCAAAGTTTTTCGATAATTTCTAAAATCTCTAGAAACTTCTTATGATTTGAGCAGCTAGAAAGAGTAAAATCTTCCAGGGACTTGAGTTAACAGATACTGAATGGCAGACTTTTAAGCTTCAAGCAACCTTCAAGGCTCAAACTACGAAGCCCCGTAAGATTATTTATCGACGATGGCAGTTTTTCAATTGCAATCTCATCCAAACAAAGCCAATCGACTTCTCCCATAACTTCTAAAATCTTTGGAAACTTCTCAAGATTTTTGGAGCCAGAAAGAGAAAACCATCTAAGGGACTTGAGTTGCAGATGTTGCATGGCAGACTTTTAAGCTTCAAGCAACTTTTTAGTTGAAACTACGAAGCCCCGTAAGATTAATTATCGACGATGGCAGTTCTTCAATTGCAGTCCCATCCAAACAAAGCGAATTGAGTACTCCCATAATTTCTAAAATCTTTGGAAACTTCTCAAGATTTTTGGAGCCAAAAAGAGAAAACCATACAAGGAACTTGACTTGGCAGATGCTGCATGGTAGACTTTTAAGCTTCAAGCAACCTTTTAGGCTAAAAGTACGAAGCCCCTTAAGATTATTTATCGACGATGGCAGTTCTTCAATTGCAGAAATCCAAACAAAGCAAATTGAGTTCTCCCATAACTTCTAAAATCTCTGGAAATATGCAGAGTTACACTTGCCATTTGAAATTTTCATTAAATGGCCATTAAAAATATATTTAAAAAAAAAAGTAAGGTAGACCATGCTTCTGCTTTTCTATACTTCTATATTGTCACTAACAGCAGTTTAAAAAAAAATTGTTTTACCAAATTTACATTTGATGATCCAAAATTTTTAATAAACTGCTTTTTTTAAGGGGAGTTTTAACGAAAAATCCGTGGTACTATTCACTTTAACGAAAATTGTCTCTTACTATTTGGCTGTAATGGTACTATTCTATCTTTGTTTGTCTGCGAGAAGTCTCAAGTTCAATTTCAAATTTAATATTTGATTAATTTGCCCTCTAAAACGTCTTAATTTATATTTTTAAACTGAATTTGTCTTGCTTTGCCTCTAAAACAACCAAACTCGAGTCATTTCACCCTATTTTAGTTATGAACACTGAATGAAAAGGCAATCGAGACATTTCATATCATGCTGATAGTAATGTTTGGTGAGGTAAGAAATTTTCAAACTGCCCTAAACCTCTAAAATTGTTAAATCTTTGCCAACATGGACACAAAAGTAAGGCAAATTCAGTTTCAAAAGATAAAGTGAGATTAAATCGATTTTCGGGTGTCGAACCTTAAAACCGTTGCCTATTTAATTATAATTAACTCATTGTATGATTTAGTCATGAACCAAAAAAAAAAATTACACCTTGTAACTCAATTAGTTAAAAAGTAATCACTCCACCGTGTGAGAAAATTGTGGCCTGCTTATTTGAACCATCATTGAAACAACGAATTAATTCATGTAAAACATTCACATGGTAGGTCTTTTACCAAAATGGCATCGTCTAAAGAAACTGGATGCATTGCAGAAACTGCTTTCTTAGTTCACATACTCTGCAAACAAGCATCGACGAAAGAAATAAAACTAGCATGTCGAAGAAACTCAATAAACTTAGCTCACAGTCGTTACAACAATAACAACAAAGCCTTAGCGCATAATCAATGATCAACAAAATTTCAATGCTCTAGTAACCTAATTTTTTGCAATAGGATTACATCAAACAGCCCACGAACACCAAGATTTAGAGTTCATAAAACTCTAGATTGAATTGTATCCAAATCCATCAAACTCAACATCCACTACACCAGTTTACTTCAACTCACACCACAAAAATATCAAATGACTAGTGGTAAAAAAAATTGTCAAAATCTTGAAATACTGGATATGCCAAGTGAAAGATTTGCATTAGCACATAGGCAACTGATAGCGATATTACCACTTGTAAAACAAGGGTTAAACCATAGAAAATTCTTGCAAGAGAACAAGTGTTTGTAGTATAGAATGGCTCAAGCAAGGTCGATCTCCTCAGGGACTGATATAAACAATTTACTAGTTTTTGTGTATTTAACTTATTTAACTCTAAGAACTACACTAATTTGACGAAACTAAATACTACTGGATGTGACTTAAATAAATATCTAAAATGGGAATTGGCTTATAGGAATAGTGATCCAACTAAACAAAACAAGTAAATATATAAACTCAAGATAATACAATTAATTTAAGAAAATTAGATTGACAAGGTGCTAGAGTTCAACCTTTTACCAACAACACTCCTACGTAGCTCTTCCAATTGCTTAAGTAATCGAAAACACATATGCTTTGAAGGTTGGGTTTTCCTTGTGTATGTTTTACTTGTGACATTCAAGTTAAAACGCATACCACTACATGCAATTTATCCATGACATTTGGATTAAATATAAACATGAATGATTCATTAATCTTGATGAAAATCCTTTTGTTAAACCATGTAATCCCTAAGAGTATGATATTTACCTTAGGAGAAATTACAATCCTCAATCACAAGAAGCATAACCAATTTTAACGTGACATTTGTTCAAAATTGCATCCAATGACTTTTCTAAGCATCCTAATGATGATCAATCATCAAGACACATAAATAGTTTAATTTAGAGATTGAAAATATCAAAGCAAGCATGTAACAACACTTAAGCAATTGAAAGAGAAATCTACGTAATCATGTTGCGGCTCCTGGCCTCACTCTAGCAAAAGGAAATTAGTTATACATAATTATTTGAATACATAAGAAATTATCAATGAAGAATCAAAGAAAGAGACAACCTTTTTTTTTTACAAGGAAGCTATCTCCTGAGCTCTCCGATCCTCTTGGAGCTGCGGCATCCCTTCTGCTCTCTGCTATGTTGCTCCTGCAACTCTGTCCGTTCCTCCTCTTCTTTTCTGCTCTCCCTTCTTTTCCTCTCTGACGTGTGCCTTGTGTCTTTCCCACTGCCAGTCTGTGTGTTTTCTTTTCTTGCCTTTAACAAAAGGTAGCTCTTTTCCAAATCACTAAGGCCACAAGTGGAAGACAAGCCTCATCCCACTTCCCAGTGCTCCACTTTATCCTCACTCTCCCACTTTGCTTTCTGATTTCTTTTTCAAACACCACCCATGGAGACAAGCTCCACTTCCAATTCTTTTGTTTGTTTTTATTATTTCCTTTTCTCCTTTTTGCTTGAAATTGATCATAAAGCAAATTTAACTGCACACTAACACAAGGTAAGGTAAAATGCAACCATTTTAACACAAAAACATCACAAAGACTTTAGAAATGGATGGTATAAATGCATGAAATATATGAGTGATCAAATACCCTCAAACTTACATTTTTGCTAGTCCTCTAGCAAAACAAAACACAAAACAAAATCACTCAACTAAGACTAGACTCAACAACTTAGTAGCCAACTTCTCAATTTCGATTTTAGAGATAAGTGCTAACCATGAAACAAACAGCCAAGAACTAAGAAACAAGAGCTCAAAACATCATCCAATATTTAACCAAATTTCCTTCAAACAAAACGTTGAAATGTCATGTGTGAGCTAGCCATGTCAATGCAATTCCAAGCTCCTTTAAATCATCATATGCAAACATGTGAGCTTCTCACAAGACATACGTTCATTCACTCATAAGTTTTGGTTAATGTGTTTCACTCAAGTGATCTCATTGTACATGCCGTCATATGCTTGCTTGTCCACCTAACTCACTATCAATATTTAAGTAATACCTTAGATCAATAGGACTTTATTACGGTTGTAATGGGGCTAAAGGTGATAGGCTAATGAAAGAAAGGATATGGAAATCAAAAATTTTGAGAAAGTACACTTTGGTAGTTTTCCAACACCTCAATATCACACCACCTCAAATTGAAAGCAAAATAATAAAACCTCGAGCACCTTTTACTCCCCAAATTCAGCTTTAAAAGGAAATATATACTCTGCAGACACATTTTCAACAAATTAACACTATCCTTTTTTTTTTTTTAGTAAAAAAAACAAATCTGCAAAGCTATGCATAAATCTGCAAAAGCTACATCACCCATCAAATTCACATTTCATTGTAATACACATGCTCAATCAATCTTTCGACAAATGAAACCCCCAAGAGCACAACCCATGTAATACTTTCTCAAAACAATAAAGAATTGATTTCTGTGTATGGGCTCAACTCCAATATCAGAGCAAGGTAAAGCGATGTGGCTAACAAAGAAATGGCTTAGTTAAAGGCTCAACAAGCTACTACGGACACACATAGCATATAAGATAGGCATGAAAGGCTCAAACGATCCAAAGATGGCCTATATCACTTCCAAGTTATTACATGAATTGATGAATGAGACAAGAAGTATAAAGCAAGTTCTAGAGATACATGTACAGTGAGATCATACGCACAAGAAGGAATGAGATTGATGCATAATGGTTCAATCATGTATAGGCTCAAAAACTCATAAGGTTTACATAATCTCACATGATTCACATATGAAACGCTAAATCATGCTCAAGTTTCACATTGACAAGACTAGGCACATTCATTTTTCAAGTTGATTGCTGGAAATCACAGTTAACACAAAGACAACGAAAAGAACTTAAACTTCTTGAAAGTAAGAAGGAAATTAAGATCAAATCTCATCGTTGAATTGAGAAGTAGCTACAAACAACAACAAAAATGCAAAAAAAAAAAAAATTTATTAATTTTTTGTTCTTTTTTTTTAATCAAGAAGTAAACTAACGAAATATATTTCCACCCCCAAACTTAATTATAGCATTGTCCCCAATGATAATGAAAGGAATTTTGAACAATAAGACATAAAAATGGAAGGAAAGAAAAACAAAATGAAATAAAGACACGTAAAGAAAAGGAAAGAACACACCAATTTGTGTAGGCGAGGAGAGCAGCAGTAAAAATGCATTTTTTTTTTAATGGTAGAATTCCAAATCATCCCCAAACTTGTTTCAACACGTCCCATTATGCATAACAAATGTGTGAGTAACCCGTGGGATTAAGAAACTTTTCAAGAAGTTGTGGTAGAGACTGCAAAATCATTACCAGCATAAGGGAGCAAAAGTAGGACTTAAACACACAAACCAGAAAACAAGAGAAAAACAGAACAAGAACATTTAAAATTATTCAAACTAAAGATGAAAGATAGAAAGCTTGGGTTGCTTCCCAAGAAACGCTTTAGTTACTGTCTAGAGCTAGACATCTGTTGGCAGTTTGATTCAAATAACAGGTTACTTCAAAGTGATGGAATCCTTAGCAAGATCATATGGAGACTCCTTGTATAACTTCAAGTGATGTCCTTTAACTTTGAAGACAAAACCAGTTTGCATGTTTTAGATATCCACAGCCCCATGAAGATGGACCTGTACAACACGATATGGACCATTGTAACGTGATTTGAGCTTTCCTAGGAATAGTTTTAGTCTCGAATTAAAAAGCAAAACCTTCTGACCCGGTTGAAACTCTTTACGAAGGATGTGAACATCATGAAATTTCTTGGTCTTATCCTTGTAAATCTTTGCATTTTCATAAGCATCATTCCTTATTTCTTCCAGTTCATTCAACTGCAGTTTCCACTTCTCTCCAGCTGCCTGGTAGTCAAAATTGAGGTGCTTAATAGCCCAATATGCCTTGTGCTCAAGTTCCATAGGCAGATGGCAAGCTTTCCCATACATCAAACGAAAAGGAGACATCCCAATTGGTGTCTTATAAGCTGTCCTATATGCCCACAAAGCATCAGTAAGCTTTAAATTCCAATCCTTTCGAGATGAACTGACAGTTTTCTCAAGAATCCTCTTAAGCTCACGATTAGATACTTCAACTTGTCCAGATGTCTGTGGATGGTATGGGGTGGCTATGCGATGGTGAATATGATACTTGGCACAAAGGGCGGCCATGGTGCGGTTTGAGAAATGCGTACTTTCGTCACTGATGATAGCACGAGGTACTCCAAATCGGGGAAAAATAGTATTCTGCAAGAAACCTAACACCACATAACTTTTGCATGTTGGAGAAGCTATTGCCTCCACCCACTTGAGACATAATCAACCGCCACCAAGATGTAGAGATTGCCATGTGAAGAAAGGAAAGGTCCCATGAAGTCTATACCCCAGACATCAAATAGTTTAATCACCAAAATACTTAGTTGGGGCATCTCATTTGTTTGAGAAAGATTGCCAACTCTTTGATACTTATCACAAGCTTGGCACCATAGGTATGCATCTTTGAATAAAGATGGCCAAGAGAAACCACTCTGTAAGATCTTGGCTGCAGTCCTTCTTGGTCCAAAATGACCACCACATGCATAATGGTGAGCAAACTTCAAAATGCTTTCTCGTTCTTCTAAGGGGACACACCGACGAATGATTTGATCTTGGCAATGCTTGAAAAGGTATGGCTCATCCCAAAAGTAGTGTTTTACAGTGGAGAGGAACTTCTTCCTTTGTTGGTAACTGAACTCTGATGGTATTTCCCCAGATGCCAAATAATTTGCGATGTCAGCATACCATGGTACTTGATGAGTAACTGCTAGAAGTTGCTCGTGTGGAAAGCTCCCTTGCAGGGGCAATGAATCTGCCTCATCAGTGTTTGCATTTACTAATCTTGAGAGATGATCCGCCATAACATTCTCACGTCCATTTTTATCTAGGATCTCCAAATCAAACTCTTGCAAGAGAAGGACCCATCGAATCAATCGTGGTTTGGCCTCTTTTTTAGACAATAAGTACTTGAGAGCAAAATGATCAGAATACACAATGACTTTAGCACCAATTAAGTATGATCGAAACTTTTCAAGAGCAAATACCACTGCAAGTAATTCTTTTTCCGTAGTGGCATAATTCAGCTGAGCATCATTCAAAGTGCGGCTGACATAATATATAACATGAGGGAGCTTGTCACGTCGCTGACCAAGGACAGCACCCATAACGTAATCGAAAGCATCGCACATGAGCTCAAAAGGAAGGGTCCAATCTGGAGCTGTTATAATTGGGGCTGATGTGAGAAGATCCTTCAATTTGTTGAAAGCATCATGACAATCTGCATTAAAATCAAAACAAGCATCTTTAGCAAGTAAATTACAAAGAGGAGGACTAATTTTGGAAAAATCCATGATGAATCTTCGATAAAAACCAGCATGTCCCAAGAAAGATCTCACATTCTTCACAGAAGTTAGTGGTGGTAATTTGGCGATCACCTCAATCTTTGCCTTGTCGACCTATATTCCTTTGCTTGAAATTAGATGTCCTAACACAATGCCATGCTTAACCATAAAATGGCATTTCTCCCAATTTAACACAAGATTAGTCTCCTTGCATCTTTCCAAAACCAAAGACAAGTTATCCAAACATATATCGAAAGAATTACAAAAAACAGAAAAGTCATCCATAAAAACCTCAACAATATTTTCAACCATTCTGGAAAAAATACTCATCATGCATCGTTGGAAAGTGGTAGGGGCATTGCACAATCCAAATGGCATTCGTCTGTATGCAAATGTACCAAAAGGGCATGTAAGCGTTGTCTTCTCTTGATCCTCAGGGGCAATTGGAATTTGGTTATACCCTGAATAACCATCTCAGAAACAATAGAAAGAATGACTAGCTAGTCTTTCGAGCATCTGATTAATGAATGGCAGCGGAAAATGATCATTTCTAGTGCTGTTATTGGGCTTTCTATAGTCAACACACATTTGCCATCTGGTGGTCATCCTTGTAGGCACAAGCTCGTTGTTATCATTCTTCACCACAGTAATACCAGTTTTCTTTGGAATCACCTGAGTCGGGCTCACCCATTTGCTATCCGAGATTGGATAAATGATACCTGCATCGAGTAACTTCATCACCTCAACTCTTACAAATTCCTTCATGATTGGATTTAGACGTCTTTGAGCTTCAACAGTTGGTTTAGTCCCAGCCTCCATAAAAATCCTATGCATGCACAAAGCTAGACTAATGCCCTTTATGTTAGCAAGTGTCTACCCTAGAGCATCTTGATACTTGCGAAGAACTCTTAGTAATTTGTCTTCCTCCGTGTCATTAAAATCAGCAGCAATAATAACAGGCAAGGTCTCGTTCACCCCGAGATGAGCATACTTAAGGTGGCTCGGCAGTAACTTGAGCTCTAACTTCGGAGCTTGCTCACTTGAACGAAGAAGGGGCTGCTTAGGCATTCCAAGGCTTTCATAAACATGTCGCCACTTAGGATTATGAATTGGTGCACTATCCAATGCAGCAATGACGTCCACCACATTTTCTTCCATAAATAAAGTAGCATCATGGTTGGTGAGGCAAGTTAACAGCTCATCGTTAAATGATCGTGAGGCAAAGTTTGCATGCACAATCTCATCCAAAACATCAACACGAAAACACTCTTCAAGTTCGAGAGGACGCTTGATAGCTTCAAAGAGTTTGAATACAACTGACTCTCATTGTACTCTTAAGGTTAAAGTACCTGCTTCCATATCAATAAGTGTCCGGGCGGTGACCATGAACGGTCGGCCTAAAATGAGAGGCACTTCCTTGTCTTCCTCCATGTCAAGTACAATGAAATCAGCTGGGAGATAGAATTTATCCACTTTAATAATCACATCTTCCAGAATACCCAAAGGATAGGTCACAGACCTATCTGCCAATTGAAGACTCACAGATGTGGGCTTGAGTTCTCCTTCACCTAATTTTTGAAAAACATAATAAGGCATAAGGTTTACACTTGCTCCTAAATCAATCAATACTTTATGAAAATCAAAACTACCAATAGTACAAGAGATAGTGAAACTCCCCGGATCTTTCTTCTTGGGTGGTAGCTTATGTAAGAGGACAACATTGCATTGCTCAGTTAAAATCACCTTCTCGTATTCCAAGAACTTTTTCTTTTTAGAACATAGCTCCTTCAGAAATTTGGCACATGATGGGATTTGTTTAATAGCATCTAATAAAGGCAAATTAATTTGAACATTAGCCAACGTCTTCATGAATTTAATGCATTGTTGATCATTGGAACGTTGTTGTTATCGTTGTGGAAATGGTAAAGGTGGCTTGTATGGTGGCTTGTCAGAAGGTGCAAATAAACTACCAAGGCCTTTTTCCTTGTTTGCATCAAAGTTGGGTCGAGATTGCACTTTGTCACTTGCACTAGGATTTGGAATACCTGCTGCAGAAATAGCCTCTGACCGAGACTTTGCAGCTAATGGTGCACTTTCAATAAGCTCTTATTCTTCCATTTCGGCTTCATGGTGCATCACTTCTCTGTTGTCATAGCTCTTGCCACTTCTCAATGTCCGTATTACTTTGCAATGATCCATCCCTCTTGGATTTTGCTCAGATTGGCTTAGGAACTTTCCTTTCTCTCTTTCATTGAACATGGTAGCAAGCTGTCCAACTTAAGTCTCCAAATTCCCCACTGATGCTGTGAGATTCTGAATGCTAGTTTGTGTGGATTGGACAAAATTGTTGGTGCTATTAGAGAGAGCGAACATATGTTAAGCTAGCTGTGACATTTGATCTTCAAGAGATGGTTTCTTAGTCTCACTAGTTTATTGGTAAGACTGTTGGTATTGATGTGGCTGTTGGTTGCCACCCCAACTAAGATTGGGATAGTTCTTCCACCCAGGATTATATGTATTGGAATAAGGGTCACTTCTGGGTCTAATGAAATTTTTCACCATATTCACATGCTCTTGCACAAGCTCATGGTAGCTATCCTTGTTGGGGCATTGAGTGATGTCATGAGTTGTCTCACTACAAATGATGCAAGCTTCTTGGGCATTGGGCATGGAAGAGACCTGCATTAAGGCAGCAAACTTGGCATTAAATTTTTTCTCCATTTTAGCAATTTTAGCAGAAACATTAGGAGAACTCTGAGAAATCTCAAAAACTCCCCTCTTTTGTGTTTGTTCTTTTGTCCATTGTTGGGATTCAGAAGCCATCATATCAAACAACTCAAATGATTCCCTTGCTTATTTTGACATTAGTGACCCTCCAGCAGATGCATTTACTTGACTCTTGGTGGTGGCATTGAGACCATCATAAAATATGTTCATTTGAAGGTTAGAATCAAACCCAGCATGAGGACATTTTGTGTACATCTCATTATACCGTTCCCAAGCTTCATGGAAAGACTCGTTTGGCTTTTGAGCGAAAGCCAATATCTCTTTCTTGAGTGCAAGAGTCTTGGAAGAAGGAAAAAACTTATTGAGAATTTTTTCTTGCAATTCTGTCCATGTTGTAATGCTATTGGCAGGCAGAGAATGCTTCTCAGCCACGCCTTGGCTTTGTCCTTCAAAGAGAACGAGAACAAGCGTAACTTGATAGCTTCAGAAGAGAAACCTCTGATTATGGTGTTGTCACATGCCTCAATAAAATCAACCAAATACATGTTGGGATCATTGTTTGGCAACCCATGAAAGGATGGCAATATGTTGAGGATGTGAGGTTTGATTTCAAAGGTTGTCCCATCTTCCACATCTGGATATATAATGCACCTTGGCACTGCATTGACTCTCGCTGCCAATGAATTCTTTAAAGGTTGACCTGCTGCAGGTAAGGCTAGAGCCATGTGTGCAACTGGTGCCAAAGGTTGGAAAATAGATGTGCTGCTCTCAAGATCATGGAACAAATCCTTAAGAAAAGTATCACCAAGGTTGGAATCTTGTGCTAAATATTTTTCTCTAGCTAACTTCCTTGCACTTCTCTCTGGTTCAGGGTTGTAAGGAATAAGCACTTGATTCTTGGACCTTGTTCTTATCACCATATACTACACCTGAACAAACAACAGAAATATTAAGCCACAATAAAAATAAAAGTAAAATAAAATAAAACTTAACAGAAACTAAATAAACAACAAAAAGGAAAAGAAAGTAAGTAAACCTAGATGAATACAAAACACAATTTATGCAAATTGGCAACCACTAGTTAGTTAAATAAAGACAAAAATCTCACACCACATATCCACTGCACTTAATCAAAGATCGAAACTCAACTAAATTAATTGCTTTTTTTTAATGATTAATAAAAATAAGACATAAACATAAGCATAAGAAAAATAAACACAAAAGCTCAGGAACTGTTGGCACAGTCCCCGTCAACGGCGCCAATTTCTTGATAGCGATATTACCACTTGTAAAACAAGAGTTAAACCATAGAAAATTCTTGTAAGAGAACAAGTGTTTGTAGTATAAAATGGCTCAAGCAAGGTCAATCTCCTCAATGACTGATATAAACAATTTATGAGTTTTTGTGTATTTAACTTATTTAACTTTAAGAACTGCACTAATTTGACGAAACTAAATACTACTGGATGTGACTTAAACAAATATCTAAAATGGGAATTGGCTTATAGGAACAATGATCCAACTAAACAAAACAAGTAAATATATAAACTCAAGATAATACAATTAATTTAAGAAAATTAGATTGACAAGGTGCTAGAGTTCAACATTTTACCAACAACACTCATACGTAGCTCTTTCAATTGCTTAAGTAATCGAAAACATATATGCTTTGAAGGTTGGGTTTTCCTTGTGTATGTTTTACTTGTGACATTCAAGTTAAAACGCATACCACCACATGCAATTTATCCATGACATTTGGATTAAATATAAACATGAATATTCATTAATCTTGATGAAAATCCTTTTGTTAAACCATGTAATCCCTAAGAGTATGATATTTACCTTTGGAGAAATTACAATCCTCAATCACAAGAAGCATAACCAATTTAATATCATCTAATAGAGGCAAATTAATTTGAACCTTAGCCAACGTCTTCATGAATTCAATGCATTGTTGATCCTTGGAACGTTATTGTTGTCGTTGTGGAAATGGCAAAGATGGCTTGTATGGTGGCTTGTCAGAAGGTGCAAATAAACTACCAAGGCCTTTTTCCTTGTTTGCATCAAAGTTGGGTCGAGATTGCACTTTGTCACTTGCACTAGGATCTGGAATACCTGCTGCAGAAATAGCCTCTGACCGAGACTTTGCAGCTAACGGTGCACTTTCAATAAGCTCTTCTTCTTCCACTTCGGCTTCATGGTGCACCACTTCTCTGTTGTCATAGCTCTTGCCACTTCTCAATGTCCGTATTACTTTGCAATGCTCCATCCCTCTTGGATTTTGCTCAGATTGGCTCTGGAGCTTTTCTTTCTCTCTTTCATTAAACATGGTAGCAAGCTGTCTAATTTGAGTCTCCAAATTCCCCACTGATGCCGTGAGATTCTGAATGCTAATTTGTGTGGATTGGACAAAATTGTTGGTGCTATTAGAGAGAGCGGACATATGTTGAGCTAGCTGTGACATTTGATCTTCAAGAGATGGTTTCTTAGTCTCACTAGTTGATTGGTAAGACTGTTGGTATTGACGTGGCTGTTGGTTGCCACCCCAACTAAGATTGGGATGGTTCTTCCACCCAGGATTATATGTATTGGAATAAGGGTCACTTCTGGGTCTAATGAAATTATTCACCATATTCACAAGCTCTTGCACAAGCTCAGGGTAGCTATCCTTGTTGGGGCATTGAGTGATGTCATGAGTTGTCTCACTACAAATGATGCAAGCTTCTTGGGCATTGGGCATGGAAGAGACCTGCATTAAGGCAACAAACTTGGCATTAAAATTCTTCTCCATTTTAGCAATTTTAGCAGAAACATTAGGAGAACTTTGAGAAATCTTAAAAACTCCCCTATTTTGTGTTTGTTCTTCTGTCTATTGTTCGGATTCAGAAGCCATCATATCAAATAACTCAAATGCTTCCCTTGCTGATTTTGACATTAGTGACCCTCCAGCAGATGCATTCACTTGACTCTTGGTGGTGGCATTGAGACCATCATAAAATATGTTCATTTGAAGGTTAGAATCAAACCCAGCATGAGGACATTTTGTGTACATCTCATTATACCGTTCCCAAGCTTCATGGAAAGACTTGTTTGGCTTTTAAGCGAAAGCCAATATCTCTTTCTTGAGTGCAAGAGTCTTGGAAGAAGGAAAAAACTTATTGAGAAATTTTTCTTACAATTCTATCCATGTTGTAATGCTATTGGTAGGCAGAGAATGCAGCCACGCCTTGACTTTGTTCTTCAAAGAGAACGAGAACAAGCGTAACTTGATAGCTTTAGAAGAGAAACCTCTGATTATGGTGTTGTCACATGCCTCAATAAAATCAACCAAATGCATGTTGGGATCATTGTTTGGCAACCCATGAAAGGATGGCAATATGTTGAGAATGTGAGGTTTGATTTCAAAGGTTGTCCCATCTTCCACATTTGGATATATAATGCACCTTGGCACTGCATTGACTCTCGCTGCCAATGAATTCCTTAAAGGTTGACCTGCTGCAGGTAAGGCTAAGGCCATGTGTGCAACTGGTGCCAAAGGTTGGAAAATAGATGTGCTGATCTCAGGATCACGGAACAAATCCTTAAGAAAAGTATCACCAAGGTTGGAATCTTGTGCTAAATATTTTTCTCTAGCTAACTTCCTTGCACTTCTCTCTGGTTTAGGGTCGTAAGGAATAAGCACTTGATTCTTGGACCTTGTTCTTATCACCATATACTACACCTGAACAAACAACAGAAATATTAAGCCACAATAAAAATAAAAGTAAAATAAAATAAAACTTAACAGAAACTAAATAAACAACAAAAAGGAAAAGAAAGTAAGTAAACCTAGATGAATCAAAAACACAATTTATGCAAATTGGCAACCACTAGTTAGTTAAACAAAGACAAAAATCTCACACCACACATCCACTGCACTTAATCAAAGATCGAAACTCAACTAAATTAATTGTTATTTTTTTAATGATTAATAAAAATAAGACATAAACATAAGCATAAGAAAAATAAACACAAAAGCTCAGGAACTGTTGGCACAATCCCCGGCAACGGCGCCAATTTCTTGATAGCGATATTACCACTTGTAAAACAAGGGTTAAAGCATAGAAAATTCTTGTAAGAGAACAAGTGTTTGAAGTATAGAATGGCTCAAGCAAGGTCAATCTCCTCAATGACTGATATAAACAATTTATAAGTTTTTGTGTATTTAACTTACTTAACTCTAAGAACTACACTAATTTGACGAAACTAAATACTACTGGATGTGACTTAAACAAATATCTAAAATGGGAATTGGCTTATAGGAATAATGATCCAACTAAACAAAACAAGTAAATATATAACTCAAGATAATACAATTAATTTAAGAAAATTAGATTGACAAGGTGCTAGAGTTCAACCTTTTACCAACAACACTCCTACGTAGCTTTTCCAATTGCTTAAGTAATTGAAAACATATATGCTTTGAAGGTTGGGTTTTCCTTGTGTATGTTTTACTTGTGACATTCAAGTTAAAACGCATACCGCCACATGCAATTTATCCATGACATTTGGATTAAATATAAACATGAATGATTCATTAATCTTGATGAAAATCCTTTTGTTAAACCATGTAATCCCTAAGAGTATGATATTTACCTTAGGAGAAATTACAATCCTTAATCACAAGAAGCATAATCAATTTTAACGTGACATTCGTTCAAAATTGCATCCAATGACTTTTCTAAGCATCCTAATGGTGATCAATCATCAAGACAAATAGATAGTTTAATTTAGAGATTGAAAATATCAAAGCAAGCATGTAACAATACTTAAGCAATTGAAAGAGAAATCTACGTAATCATGTTGCGGCTCATGGCCTCACTCTAGCAAAAGGAAATTAGTTATACATAATTATTTGAATACATAAGAAATTATCCATGAAGAATCAAAGAAAGAGACAACCCTTTTTTTTTTTACAAGGAAGCTATCTCCTGAGCTCTCCGATCCTCTTGGAGCTACGGCATCCCTTCTGCTCTCTGCTATGTTGCTCCTGCAACTCTGTCCATTCCTCCTCTTCTTCTCTGCTCTCCCTTCTTTTCCTCTCTGCCGTGTGCCTTGTGTCTTTCCCACTGCCAGTTTGTGTGTTTTCTTTTCTTGTCTTTAACAAAAGGCAGCTCTTTTCCAAGTCACTAAGGCCACAAGTGGAAGACAAGCCTCATCCCACTTCCTAGTGCTCCACTTTATCCTCACTCCCTCACTTTGCTTTCTGATTTCTTTTTCAAACACCACTCGTGGAGACAAGCTCCACTTCCAATTCTTTTGTTTGTTTTTATTATTTCCTTTTCTCCTTTTTGCTTGAAATTGATCATAAAGCAAATTTAACTGCACACTAACACAAGCTAAGGTAAAATGCAACCATTTTAACACAAAAACATCATAAAGACTTTAAAAATTGATGGTATAAATGCATGAAATATATGAGTGATTAGCAACCAACATATATGTCCTATCGAAAGCCTAAAAAGAAAAAGCCTCGTCGACAAACTGTTTATGCAGCAGCGCTAGCACCCTTTCCCTTCTTCCTCTGGAACTTCTTCATGTAAAACTCAAGTTCCTTACCCTCCAAGATGTACCTGACGAAAAGTATGCAAGACAAAATAAGATGATGCAAACACAGAAATACAACTGAAGAGAATAGGAACACGAGTTAGACTCACCCATCACATCTACCACATTGGCCTGGACGGGAAGATATGCAAGCCAGCAATCTCCCACCTCCAAACTGCTCTTCAACCTGAGAGCTCTCCATTTGACATTGCCTCCTCGCACACGGATTCTCCTTCCTGCTTGTACATATAAAGATAGAACTAGTTAGTGTGATAATGAAATGAATTTACCATCCACTAACAAATACAAAGTGAGAACTGCAAAGGACGGGTGATAACATGAAGCCTATAAGAAACCATTCATCCTTATTTCACAAACCATGCACATACACACCGTCGCCTATAAGTTATTGAAAAAACCTTGATGGGCCCTAACAATACATACCTACATCATTCGTCTTTTTATTATAACCAAATAGGACAGTGAGATTTGACATCACTTCTCAATACTTCTCCCAACGCTAACCTCACTACCATCACAATGCAATTCAACAACTATGTGCAGATACAAGTCAGTGCAACCATTCAGAAGTGAACACTAATTTTCAAGCCAAGTTGTTCTACATTGACAACGATGATATGTAAGTACGTAGAGGGTCAATAAATTATTTCAACTCCGTAATGCTGGAGGTACCATTGCTTAAATGGAGCTGCATCCACCTGGAAGATGGCGCTTTTCACCAGAGTTTGTGTTCTAACAAGCTCATTGTTTGAGGCCCTGTATACAACATCCAGGAGACGGGTTTTGCGAGTAACGGCTTCGCTGCCCCACGAGAAGTTCCCAGTATCCAACTTGAGCAAGGTTTAAAACATTGATTATATCGGAAATATCGGTTAGTTTAAAAACACGGAAATTTCGATGGAAATATCGGGATATTATCCATATCGATAAAAATTGAATAAAACCCACGAAAATTGTAAGAAAAACTTGGAAATTTTTATTGAAACTTTGCAGGATGTTTATTTAGTCAATTATCTATTAGTTTATCACAAAAAAATTATAAGGAAATCATTGCATGATGAATTTAACTGATTTAAGTTGATTATATAGCGAGCTGGCAAACATTGTGAGTGTAAAAAATATGTAGTAATTAATGAAAGAAGTTTAAACACACCATAATCATTTATATATAATGAATTAGTACAATATTTTATATTTTATACATTGCATGATAATATATATGAGTGACTTGGTATCACATAGAGTTCTTATCAAGGTCTAAAATATCGATGATATCGAAAATATCGGTAGTCTAAAAACACAAAAATTTCGATATAAATATCTGAATAATATCGATATTTTAGACTATGAACCTGAGAGCTCTCCATTTGACATTGCCTCCTCGCACACGGATTTGCAGGCTGATGGCCGAGCTCATACATGGTTAAGTCCATAGAATGAGAAACAATTAAAAATTCATAACCTTACAATTGTCTATTTTTCAAGCAAAATCAACAATTTTATTCCTCAAAAATCGTAGATGGTTAAATTCCCTCTAAATTCCCCATTCTAGGCAATGCCACATGCACAGTACCAATGGGATTCAAGATCTATTCTAGTTCTATCCTATTCTATTCTCTTCCTGGGAAGCCCAAAGGAAAACCTGTGACTGTTCATTTCACATCTTTCTAGCTAATCCCAAACCAATCCCAGATGCTGATCCTTTCTTTTTGGTCGAATCCCAGATGCTAATTCAAAAAGGAAAATGATCAAATGACGATTTTGACCTCCAAACTAACGCAATCATGGAACGGGAGATGGGAATTTGGCCATAAATAAAAGTTTAGGGGGTAATTGGCTAAATTTAAAGTTCAGGGGTAAATTGATAGTAAGTTACAAGTTTAGGGGGGATTTCAAAATGGGCCTTATTTTATTTTTCCTTCTTGTGCTTTTCTTGGAAAATTGCACAAATACCCCGACAATTTCGGATTGTTCGGTAACTTGTATTATTCTACTAAGTAAGGTCGGTTAACCATTTAATACTACAATCTAATGATATTCTTTTTCACGTAAATGAGAAGTTTTAGGTTCAATTCTAGTCAAAGAAGAATTTGAATCACATTATTATTAGCACACCATCTATCTTTAGTGTAAATAATATCGTTAGTTTAAAAATAAATAAAATAAGGTGGGTTATATGAAATTTAAATGACATTGTACGAAAAAAAAATATTTTCCTGAGCAGAGATTTGCATTTCTATAATTAGAAAATATATGCGGTGGTTTGATTTGAGGATGATTTTAAGAGGAAAAAAAATATATTAAAACGTGGTTGATAGGAAAATACCAATTCATGTTTGGTTATAATATAATTTTTAAGATGATGAGTATGTCTTAAAATTTCTTTGATTAAAAAAAGATAAAGATATAAAAATAAGGAGGAAATCTGAAAAATATTGTCCATATGTCTTAAATATGAAAAAACATTTATATTTCGTCCACAATGTCTTTTTTTCCACACTGTTCGACGTTTCATTTTCAATAATTGAATTTAAGAAGGTGAAGGTCAATCCATGGTCTGTGGCCGGAGCCTGGAGGGTGAGATAAATACTTGTTGGCCTTGAGATAAAACAGAACACAAAAACTACGCGGTTCACGGATTCACAGCAGACACCATTTATTGATACAACTGCATGAACACATTTCTTTATACAACCCAGATCCCCAACACGAATAACAAAACAAAACCCAGAAACAAAAAAGAAAAATCAGATGGTTCGAGATTAGTAATTCGGTACAAACAAACACAGATTCGAGATCAGACACCCCAAAACCCCAATTTTAAACATTTTGGATCCGAACTCGAATCAATCATTTGGGACCGTGAGGGGCAAAGTTGAGCAATTGCTTGGAACGGAGCCACGGCTTCACCACCACCTCGGAATCGAACAACCTGTGAACCCCATTCCTCACCGCCGACACCTTGAGGTAGTACTTGATCCCGGAAACCACCTGGCTCTGCGCCTCCACCACCTCCAAGAACTGAAGCTCTCCGCCGCCGTCCATCTTCTGGGTACCCCTCTGCCTGTTATACTCCTCTACCGAAAACCTCCCCAACTCTTGAACCTCCTTGTTCGTCTTCACGTTCTCGATCTCCTTCCTTCCTCCGACCATGCCGCCGTACCCATTCGACGCGACGAAGAGGAGGCAGATCAGGAGGGCAAAAATCGGAACTTTCATCATGATTTTGTATTGTTTGTTGGAAATCAGGAAATTGATTCGACTTTGTTAGTGGTTTTTCTGGGTTTTCAAAATTTGCTGCGGATGAGGATTGAAATTGATGGGTTTTGGCAGAATCTGGTGGGTCTTGTAGTTGTAGGACTTATCTTTCTGGGGGTAGATCGTGGAGGAAATAGAGGGCGTTTGGACACGCAAATTAAGAAGGTGGGATTGTAACACAAACGGTGTGCCGCGTCTTAGTTTGCTGGGAAAACGACACGTCGCAAACCACCTACGTGTACGCACACCGACAGACCGACTGGCATTGATCCGACGAAGGATAGAGGGTGTTATTTTATTTTAATTTTTTTTTAATTATAAATAAGAAAGGGTTAGAGGTTTTGATGGGTGCTCATTTTTCTCCCTTCAATTTCTGCTTTTTGGAGAAGCCAAAATTCATGTCGTATGGTTTTCTGTTTTGTAGTTGCTTCACCGGATGATCAAGTGTTGCCTAATTGAATTTTCTGAAATTTTGTTAAGAATCACATTAGAAAATGTTGAATTATGCTAAATCCAGTCACCTTGTGTGAGCTATTTTAATTTTAAAAATATCGGTAGCACAAATTCAATAAGCAAAAATTTCATACAGTGAACAAATTCTTATTCACAAAAAAATTTGGACAATTTTTCGTTTTATACGTGTCATTCTTGTGGAGCGGCCATGCTAATTTTTTTTAATCATCCAATTTTATCGGATGTCCTTCATAGAGGACAAACACACTTACTTTTTCATTTATAAATTATTTTACAAAGTTGTTACAATTGGGAAAGAGAAATTTGAACTCGAGTGTAGAGTGAGCAAACAAACTATTATATGAGTCATTAATTTATATATAAAGCCAACGCAAAAGGTGAATAGTATTTTTGGTGTCACCAAGCTTCAACAAAAATATTTGGACAAAAATGCCTCCAAGACAAAAAAACTTCAAAGGCAATCCAAAAATAATGCATCAAATAATTCAGCGGTATTTTCGTCATTTTAACAGTGCTTTTTTTAATAATTAATTTTTTGAATTTTTTTTAATTAGTACCTCACAATAGGCTAGCAATAACGTGATTCAATCCGTTGTTCATTCAATATTATTTTCTCTATTTTTAAACACGTTCAAAACAACTTAACAGGCGTGAAATGCTGGTTATAAAAAAGGTCTTTCGCGCGCGAATAATAATGTGATTAAATTAGTTGTCAAATGATTGTTTTTTTTAACAAACGATATTATCTACACTAAGGGGAAGGGAGTGGGTTTAGTCTCACAATGGGTTAGCAATAAAGTGATTCAATAATTTGTTTATTAAATATTATTTTCTCTATTCTTAATATAGATTTTATAGAGACCAATTTTATATATGGATTCAACTGCTTTAATTGGTCTATGAGGGGTTTCTTCTAGCATAATCTAATATTATTCATTTACTTCGTCAATTTACGCATATAAATACATTTAAAACGTGTAAGTCGCGCGTAGCATGCTGTGATTCAAAAAATGTCTTCTGCACGCACGTGAGCGTGTGTATGAAGGCTTGTTCTATATAAATTGAAGTGGAAATTTCTGTCAGGAATTCTATTATTAACATGTGCTTTATACAGGGCCATTCAAACAGGAGAACAGGTTCAACTAGTATCAATGCTGAGAGTTCCCGCTCACATACTGTATTTACATGTGTTGTTGAATCTCAATGCAAGGTAATAACTGATTTTAGGACCTATGTGCAGGACCAATGAACAGAATACTAGCAAGTTTGAATTCTGCATCCAACACTTAATCCAAAATTTGAGCTTACATGCTTGAAACAAAGCTGTGCTGAGCCTAGCTTTACCTGGCTAGAGTGCTGCATCATAAAGTTACACAAGCTTGATGGAGTGATTTGTAATACAGTGGTATCAGTTTAACTAAATGGCTAAGAATAATATCATGTTTTAATTCTTTATCCAAAGCTTAATACTGAACTGAGCGTGTCATTGAAATTTCATCTCCTCAGATTCAGAGTTTTGTTATTTTCGAGATTTTGCTCTTTTCTTTTATACTTTTGTGCTGATTGCAGCTTATTATTTGATGCAGGAACCTGATAAACATTCTTGCTGAAATTTCTCAAACGGGAAAGCAAAGGCATATTCCCTATAGAGATTCAAAATTAGCAATGGTCTGTGCTATTTCTCCAACACAAAGGTAGTACTGCAACCCCTTTCTTCCTTGAAAGTAGCATTTAGCATTTTTTTTAAGGAAAACTAATGAAAAGGGCTTGAAAACTTTGAGTTTTAATGATAAGGACAAAATAAAGGGTAAAGTGAATAGTATCAGGATTGACTTTTTAGTGTAAAAATGTGGTTTTTCGTTAAAGTGAACAGTACCGGGAACTTTTCGTTAAAGTTCCCTTTTTTTTAATCTGTCTTTGTGAATTGGAAGTCACTGATCTAATCTTGCAGCTGTAAGAGTGAGACTTTCAGTACATTGAGATTTGCACAGCGGGCTAAGGCTATCAAGAACAAGGCAGTTGTTAATGAAGTAATGCAGGAAGACGTGAATCAGTTGCGCGAGGTGATACGACAGCTTAGGGTATGTTCTCTCTCACTGTGGTTTGGAATATTGTGATTCATCCATTTACAAATTAAACATGTGAATCATCCCTATGAGCTTGTTAATTTGACAGGATGAACTACGGCGGATTAAGGCACACGCTACTTCAAATGGGGGTCACAGTGCAGCATGGTTTCGTCAAAGTTTGAATATGCTAAAGGCTAGCCTTAAACCTACGATGACATTACCCCATGTCGATGATGACAGTGATGAGGAGATGGAAATTGATGAGGAAGCTGTTGAGAGGCTTTGTGCTGAAGTAAGTAACCAGACAGTTGTCAGTGAAGCTAACAACAGAGATGATGTGAACAGTGTAGAAACAATGAAATCACATTCACAACTTGTGGCTGTTGAAATTGGAAGCTCCGAAGGTCCTCAAAACCATGCATCTGGAAGTGGTTGTATCAAAGAACACGGTGTTGATACAGATGTTAATATGGAAGAAGGAATCTCTGAACAAGAAGGGGACATGATTGTTGAATGTGGTACCTGCACCCCAGTTATTGCCACTGCTAGTGCATCGGATATTCACAATCTTATAGAACTAGTTCCAAAGCTCTTATTTCTTGTTCATCCATGTCATTTATACTTGGTGAAAAGCAGTTATGTTTTTATATTTTAAATATATTTATGATTTGTTTTATTATGAACATTGAATATAAAACGTAAATTGTTATTAACCTTATAAATTGTCATTAATTTTATTATCTGATCAGGATCATTAATTCACTAGAAACGTGGGAAAGCTTCTCACCTTAAAGATGAGATTCTTTCTCTGAATAGAAAAAAAGATCAAATCTATTTTTACACAATTTTTTATTCCGTTGTGATTTGGACGTTTTGATTTAGTCCGTTTTGTTTTCTTCTGCATTGATTACTTGTAGCTTTCTTTCCCTTAAATCATTTACATCCCCCAATGTCTCTTTTATTATATATATATATATATATATATATATATATATATATAAGTCTGGAGGATCTAAAAAAAAAGGATAATAAGAAAAAAAGACAAGTTTTACAAATATTGAGTTAATAGCAACATATCGAAAGGGTGTGAGTTAGAAGGTTTTCCGTTGTGCAAGGAAGAACTTTATCAGAAGAAGGTTTTGGGCTGTTTTATCCTGGGGACAACGTGGTGTTTGTGAACTGCTTGCACACTTTGGGCAGAGCCGCGAAACATCTTAAAGAGAGCGACTTAGTCCGCGACTCATCCCAAGAATCATTTACTACTCAAGGGTTCTACATTTTTCGGGTAACTTCGTTCCTTTCTATTTCAGATTCAAGAATTTTAAGACGAATTCAATCTGCCATGCATTATAAGGCAAACTCTGTTTCTCAGGCAAATCTTGTTGAAAAGCAACTGATTGCAATGGTATCAGAAATCAACGTAGTTGATGGATCCAAGGGATGGTGGGTGGACACTGGCGCCTCTCGCCATGTTTGCTATGATCGTTCCCTTTTCAAGACCTATTATGTGGCTAAGGGAAGGAAGGTGTTGTTGGGTGATTCACACTCAACTGATGTTGCTGGTACTGGAGAGGTGGAGCTAAGGTTCATCTCTGGAAAAACCATGATACTAAAAGATGTGATGCACACTCCAGCGATAAGGAAGAATCTGGTCTCAAATTTTCTTCTCAACAAGGTTGGATTCACTCAAACCATTGGAGCAGATACGTATACTCTCACTAAAAATGGGATTTTTGTGGGAAAGGGATATGCTACTAATGGGATGTTTAAATTGAATGTTGATGAAATGTCTACTTCTACTTACATGTTGTCTTCTTTTAATACTTGGCATGCTAGACTTTGTCATGTTAACAATCTCTTGGTTAAGAACATGAGTAACTTAGGTTTTTTACCTAACTTATCATTGAATGATTTTGAAAAATGTGAATATTGTAGTCAATCTAAAATCACTAGAACTTCAAATAAATCTGTCAATAGAGAATCTGAACCACTTGATTTAATTCATTATAATATATGCGAATTTGATAGAGTGCTAACTAGAAATGGAAAACGTTATTTTATTACCTTTATTGATGATTGTTCGAATTACTGTTTTGTCTATCTTATAAAAAATAAAAGTGAAGCTATTGACATGTTCAAAACTTTCTTGATTGAAGTTGAAAATCAATTTAATCGTAAGAATAAAAGATTTCGTAGTGATAGAGGACAGGAATATGAATCTACTGAATTTGTTAATTTGTTTAAGTCTCATGGAATTATTCATGAAACTACTGCTCCTTATTCTCCTGAAATGAATGGTAAAGCGGAAAGAAAAAATCGAACTCTTTGTGAATTGACTGTTGTTACTTTGCTTAGTTCTGGAGCTGCTTCTTATTAGTGGGGAGAAATTGTGTTGACTGTATGTTATGTGTTAAATAGAATCCCTAACTCAAAAACAAATATTTCTCCTTACGAAATTTGGAAAAATAAGAAACCAAATGTGTTGTATTTCAGAACTTGGGGTTGTTTAGCTTATGTTCGTAAACCTGATCCAAAAAGATTGAAATTGGCTAGTAGAGCATATGAATGTGTTTTTATTGGTTATGCATGTAATAGCAAAGCATATAGATTTTATGATTTGAAAAACCATGTCATAATTAAGTCACTTGATGCTGATTTTTATGAGAATAAATTTCCTTGAATCTTCGAAATAGTGGGGGTTCTAATTCTTCTAAAACTTATGAACCTACTATTGTAGAATATAGTCAATCTGCATTAAAACCTAGGAAAAGTAAAAGAGCTCGAATAGCTAAAGATTTTGGGCCTGATTTTCATGTATATAACTTACAAGAAGATCCTAATACAATTCAAGAAGCTTTAACTTCTTTAGATGCAGATTTGTAGCAAGAAGCTATAAATGATGAAATGGACACCTTGGAGTCAAATCAAACTTGGCATTTGGTGGATCTTCCACCTGGTTGCAAAACAATAGGTTGCAAATGGATTCTTAAAAGAAAATTAAAACTTGACGGTTCAGTTGAAAAATTTTAAGCCCGACTTGTTGCCAAAGGCTATAGACAAAGAGAAAATATTGATTTCTTTGATACTTATTCACCTGTGACTAGAATAACTTATATTCGTGTATTGTTTGCTTTAGCTTCTATTCATGATCTTGTTGTGCACCAAATGGATGTTAAAACAGCTTTCTTAAATGGTGAATTTGAGGAAGAAATATATATGGATCAACCAAAGGGTTTTATTATTCCAGGACAAGAAAATAAAGTTTGCAAGTTAGATAAGTCACTTTATGGATTGAAATAGGCTCTTAAACAATGGCATGCGAGATTTGATAGTTTGGTACTTCGAATGGTTTTAAAATAAATGAAAGTGATAAATGCATCTATTATAAGTCTGAAAATAATATATGCACTATAATATGCCTATATGTGGATGATCTGCTTATTTTTGGTTCGAATATTTATGTTGTAAATAATGCCAAAACTTTGTTATGTGTTAATTTTGATATGAAAGACTTGGGTGAAGCTAGTGTAATACTTGATTTGAAAATAACTAGGTCCGAACATGGGTTCTCTTTAGATCAATCTCACTACATAGAAATTTTTTGAAGTATAATTATTTTGATTGGAAACCAGTATGTACTCCTTATGATCCTAGTGTAAAATTGTTCAAGAACACTGGTGACAGTGTTAAACAATCTGAGTATGCGAGCATTATTGGTAGTCTTCGTTATGCTACTGATTGCACTAGGCTTGATATATCTTATGCCATAGGAGTTTTATGTAGGTTTACTAGCAGACCTAGTTTGGAGCATTGACATGCTATAGAGAGGCTTATGAGATACCTTAAAAGAATGATGAATTTTATATTACACTATGAGAAGTTTCCCGCTGTCCTAGAAGGTTACAACGACGCTGATTGGAATACCCTTTCAGATGACTCTAAAGCCACTAGTGGATATATTTTTAGTATTGGTGGTGAGGCTGTGTCATGGAAGTCGAAGAAACAGACTATCTTGGCTCAGTCTACTATGGAATTAGAATTAATAACGCTAGCTACGGCAAGCGAAGAAGAAGGATGGTTGAGAAACCTACTGTCAGATACCCCTCTATGGGAGAAACTGATTCCAGCAATTTTGATCCATTGTGATAGCACATTGGCAATAGCTAAAGTGCAAAACCATTATTATAACGGGAAAATGAGACAAATACACTGTAAGCACAATATTGTAAGAGATTACCTCTCAAAAGGAGCTGTAAGAGTGGATCATATACGGTCTAAAGAAAACTTGGTTGATCCTTTGAAAAAAAGGACTAGCACGAGAAAAGGTTTGGAAAACCTCGAAAGGGATGAGACTCAAGCCGGTAGAAAATTGAGTTATTTGTGATAGCAACACAACCTATAGACTGGAGATCCCAAGAAATAGGTTCAAAGGGTAATAACAAGTCACAAGTGATATGAGTGAAGTCTTGCTAATTTTAATTTGGAAATTATTCCATGTCCATCCCTAAGAAGCATGACATCCCGAAGCGTTTTTAGGTTGAGATTTTTTCTCTTAGTAAAATCTATACTCTATGTTGAGTGGGATATTTAGTTACAAGAATATCCTTGATAGTCTTACCTATGTGAATGTGGAAGTGAGGCCGCTTCCTATGAAATATTGGGCAAGTTTCTAGAGCGTTCACTATACTAGGATACAATCACATGGCCGTGATGTGCTGGCTTTTTGAACTTCACCTTAATAAAGTTATGTGTGTGGTGTTGTCAGAGAGAGTTCAAAACTATAAGTTACTCTAGTATAATCTGGATCACGAACACTATGTACATGTTCAAGTTGAGAAACACCTTTACTTATGCATAGCTTTGTGATATGTGGCTTGATATATATTTTAAATAAAAACAAGTGGGGGATTGTTAGAGCTGTTATGTTTTTATATTTTAAATATATTTATGATTTGTTTTATTACAAACATTGAATATAAAACGTAAATTGTTATTAACCTTATAAATTGTCATTAACTTTATTATCTTATCAGGATCATTAATTCACTAGAAACGTGAGAAAGCTTCTCACCTTAAAGACGGGATTCTTTCTTTGAATAGAAAAAAAGATCAAATATATTTTTACATAAATTTTTATTCTGTTGTGATTTGGACATTTTGATTTAGTCCGTTTTGTTTTCTTCTGCATTGATTACTTGCAGCTTTCTTTCCCTTAAATCATTTACATACCCCAATGTCTCTTTTATTATATATATATATATAAGCCCGGAGGATATAAAAAAAAAGGATAATAAGAAAAAAAGACAAGTTTTACAAATATTGAGTTAATAGCAAAATATCGAAAGGGTGTGAGTCAGAAGGTTTTTCCGTTGTGCAAGGAAGAACCTTTTCAGAAGAAGATTCTGGGTTGTTTTATCCTGGGGACGACATGGTGTTTGTGAACTATTTGCACACTTTGGGCAGAGTCGCGAAACGTCTTAAAGAGAGCGACTTAGTCCGCGACTCATTCCAAGAATCATTCACCACTTAAGGCTTCTACATTTTTCGATAACTTCGTTCCTTTCTATTTCAGATTCAACAAAATATTGATTGGCAACTCTTACCTGTGATTTGCCAAGAACACGAAGTTCCGCTCCATAGTTTTCATGATGATATTTGGGGCCGCGCCATGCTTCAGTTTTGCACCTCCTCACGATTGGCATACATAGAAATGAAACTCTCCAATTTTGTAATGCGACGCAGCTGTGTTCGCCAAAATCATACCTACTCCTACTCCCCCATATTTCACCACCAGTCCCTTCTGCGCGTTAGGATTAATCACATGGTCACAGATCACATTATTCCCAGGTAAAAAATTGAGAGTTGTCAGTGTCTTATGTAAGCTCTCAAAAAAGTTTCTTCAAAGCTTTAATATTTCCGGCAGGCAATACCATCCAATACCTCCAGTAGATTGCAGTCACTTAAGTCAAGAATTTCAGGCCAAAGACAATAAATTTTCACAGCAAAAGTAGGTACCTTTTATTCTCAGAATCAAAAGCGTTCCTACTTTTCTTTGAAGTTTATATGAGGGCAAAGTAGAGAAGAGTAGATATTACAAGCTTGTATTAAACCAATCAGGGCAAAGCATTAAACGATTATGTCTATAGGAAGATGTTCCAACTTCAACAAATACAATTGTTTTCCCTTTCATCAAGCAACCTGCACAAAGTATAAATCCACATTGAGTTACTGCCTCACCAATAGAGGATGAAGACAATCATCAATTGCAAGCTGCAAATCAAAGTGAAATTTTCTTTTGGGTCAAGAAACCAAAATAAAAATTGGTTTGCTAGGAATGAACACAGAGACGACAGAAGATGACAGAGATAGCGACACTCACTAGAAGATTTTTCAACCACACAATAACTTTTCCTGACATTGTTAATGTGAGCCAAGAGAAAACCATTCTGCAGGGTTGCATCACCACCATTCCGGGCCATCAACAATTCCCAGTGAAGGCATTTCACCACGGTCATTTTCAGATTAGTAGTGTTTTGAATTCGTTTTAGGATATTGCACCTCTTGCTTACAAGAAGCATTCCTTCACTTGACCATCCAGCATTCATTATAGCAGCAACACTGGCTGCTCATCTAAGCATAGTTAGCAACTGCTGTCTGTCTCATGATTGGCATAAATGAAATGAAGTCCGACCCTTCCAATAGAAGGGTATCGTACTGCAGCCCTGAAATCGCTCGCATAGGCTCCATTTTCTTTTACTACAATTTTGAATGTAGCCTCAGTGTAACAATGTTTACTGGGCAGCTTTCCAGTTTCAATCAAGGTACATTTAGACCATGGAACATATCCCAGAAAGATGTGATCTGAGTCAAGGAATCTGACTCTGGATCCCCAATCAACCATATAGAAATTGTAATTGAAATCACCATGATCTCCTTTGAAGGTGCAAAAACATCGAACAGAGAGATCAGATGCACAATAATGAGCACCCCTGAACTTACTAACAGCGCATATAGCAAACCCCAATACCTTATTATGGTAATAATTCAGCGGTAGCTGCAGAGTTACCGAAGACCCCATGCACTGATGGCTGAACCAATCTGGAATTTCACTTCCAGGAAGAGACATATTGAAGGAAAGAAGCTGGAGCTGATTACCCTGCAACAGTACAAACAACGGTTGACTTAATTTGTGTTCAACTTGTGTACATAAGAGAGAGAGAGAGAGAGAGAGAGAGAGAGAGACCTGATGATGAGAGAGAGTTTCCATAATATCCCTAAATGGATTTCTTTGTACCAGCTGTAGGCAATTGGAAAATGTGAAGTAAAGATTCATATTATGAGGCTTTGGTATTGAAACTGTTTCCAAAGCATTGCAATCATGCGGGTTTGGGGTTGAAACTGTTTCCAAAGCAGTGCAATCATGCGCATCTACGTCCTTTATACTCAATGAAAGCTGTGGTATTGATTTCAGTCTCCTGCAAGCTTCTACATTGAGATGTCTTAAACAATGAAGTCGATCTAGAGTTGCAGGTAAGCTCTCAAAATTGTTTCTGCAAAGTATTAGTGTGACCAATTGGGAGAGAACAGAAATAACATCCGGTAGTCTCAACAGTTTGCAGTCACTTAAATCAAGCTGTCTCAAATTTTTATAATATTCACCAACCCAGATTGATGGTTGTGAAAATAGAAATGGTGCCTTCATTTTCTTCCATCCAGGAAATAATAATCTTGGAGGCAAAAGCCTACTTGACATAGAGAATGGTTGACGTAAACCACTTCCCTTAACATCAATGTCCCTCAAGGATCCTACATTTCCTAAGCCCTCAGGCAAGTGACAAAGCCTTGAGCACCCAGAGACAGTGAGACGGGTAAGGTATGCCAAATTACAGATACTGTCTGGAAGACAGACGATGCTTTTGCAATTTTTCAAATTTAGTATCACAAGCCCCTGAAGCCGTTCAATTGATGGGAAAATCCGTGTGATAGATGTTCCATCCAAATGAAGCTCTCTTAATCCTTCCATATCTTCTTCAATTTCTGGGAACTCCTTAAGTCTTGGACAACCAGATAGAGTAAGATATCTAAGGGACTTGAGTTGACAAATGCTGCTTGGAAGACTCTTAAGTTCTCTGCAACGCTTTAGGTTCAAAGTAACAAGCCCCGTAAGAATTCTGATCGATGAGGGAAGTTCTTCAATTGCAGTCTGATCTAGATAAAGCTCTGATAGCTCCTGCATACTTCCTGAAATCTCTGGAAACTTAACAAGATTTGAGCAGCCAGAAAGAACAAGGGTTTTAAGAGATTTCATGTGAATTCTGCTTGAAAGAATCTTAAGTTCTTTACATCCTTTTAGACTCAAAAAAACAAGTTTCTCAAGATCTGAAATTGATGGGTGGACTTCAGTTAAACTTGTACAACCTTCGAGATTTAGAATCTCAAGATTTTTTGCTTCAGTGATGTCGGGGGTTTTGTTAAGGTATTGAGAATGTCTTAAATCGATGACTTCCAACATTTCCAGATGCTGTAACGACAACCAGTAAAACATCTAATAAATAATAAGGCATCTGACAACATAACCATTCAAAAGAAACATATGAAAAATGAATATCGTACCTCGGTTCCTTCCCAAAGTTGTTCAATCTGGCTATAAGGCATTTCAAGATCAATAAGATTCTTGGGGTGGAAATTGGATGGCAAGGACTTTAGGGGGCACCCATGCCAGAGTAGACACCTCAACTCATGAGAGAGAAATTTTAAATCCCCACTCATGTGTTGTTTACAGTCATCATTTGGATGGGATAGATGCTCCCATGATGCGTATACCACAGATCGGCTACAATGGATCTTGAGAAGCCTTAATTTTTTCATTCTAACAAAAGCTTCAGTTTCGAAGTATACCTCTTCTGAGTTGGCCAAGTCGAGGGTTATGCCTTCAACTGCTTCTGTAGCCTACATAACCAAACAGTGGAAATTCAGTGAGTGAAAATATCCAGAATTTGATTTTTGTCGTACTTCAGCTTTCTACTCAATTACATGCTTAAAAGAAAGAGGTAATGAATATGTCTTACTGTATTTTGAGTTAATGCACGATGAACATCTTCATAAATCCATAACCTGCTTCGTCTTCCAGACTCTTTATTAGATTCTTGGCGGACTATTTCCCACCCCATTTCTTGCAGTAAATCATGCATCTCAAGCGTATCGTAATCTGAGATGGTGATGAGAGTTCTGTTAACTAGTACTCCTAATCCACTATGGGGATAAAAGCCACAGCTATCAAGAATTTTAGTTACATAGTCTTTCTCCATCCCTTTAAAGAAACATGCAATATCTAGAAATATGTCCTTCTCTGAATCGTCTAGCCCATCAAAGCTCTTTCTAAGAACATCCTGAATTCCCATGAGCTGAGTTTTCTTTGTTTTCTTCAACACATCTTCCCACTCCCGTACACTTCTGTTATCAAGCAAAGCTCCCAAGATTTTAAGTGCTAAAGGCACACCATGAGCATGTTGTAGGGCAAGCCTCGAGAGACGATCATAATCTGTTGTGGATTGGTTTGTTCTGAAGGCATACTGCCTGAAGAGTTCAAGAGCTTCTGGCTCGCTTAAGCTCTTGGGCTTATATACAGCATCAACTCCACTTAGTAATTGCATATCTCTAGTGGTTATAATGATTCTACTTCCACCACCAAATGAATGCTGCTTTCCAAGTAAGTCTTCGATTTGGGATAATTTGTCAACATCATCAAGAACAATGAAAACCTTTTTCCTTCGTAGCCTTTCCATTATCATTTTGGAACCTCGATCCAACGTGCCTAAACTCCACATCTTTTCCTTCAAGATTCTAGAAAGTAGCACTTCCTGCATATGTACTGCACCCTTATTCGAGAAGCCTTCCTTGACATTTTCGAGAAAGCAGCAAGCTTCAAATTGACAAGCGATTTCATCATAAACAGCGCGAGCGATGGTGGTTTTGCCTATACCTCCCATACCCCATATTCCAACAGCGAAAACATCATTCACCCCAGGACGTAATAGTAAATTCATTTCATCTATGTGGTAATCCATTCCAACCAAGCCATTATCTTTGCTTGATGAGACGTGGATCAATTTGTTAAAGATATCATCTACAATATCTTCAATAAGCTTGGCATCATCCCTGAGAAGTTTTAGAATTAGCATTGCGAAAGCGTAAAAGCAAAAGCTACATTTTTTAACCAGCCCAAAATAGTAAACGAAAACTGAATAATTAGAAGGGCAATACTTGTTGCATGCACCACCATGTTCACTTACTTGTGGTTAACATATTTTAACTTAATCGCACAAATTTCATAATCTGAATTTTTCATTATCTTGATCATATGCATGCAAAAACTAATCAAACTGGTGAACATTTAGCCATCTATATGTAAGGGTGACTAATTATCTCCAGTTAATCTTTAAATAATGATTAAAAAAATATTCTTTGATTGAAACCTTATTGATTTTTAATTTTTTTATCGAGGTCCCTGAAATCAATGTGATAATTTATTTCTATGTACGTTACTATATTTTTAAAATTAAAAATTAGAAATTTTAGTTGTTTATATAAATGAGATTTTAAATAAAAAACCATAATTTGTGGGATTAAAAATATTAAAATATAAATATACTATTGTGTGTGTGTGTGTAGATAAACATGGGTACATTCATCAAAATTAACCAAAAAAATTATTGTATCAAAACATGGGTACATTCTTCAAAATCACAAAAAAAAAGAAAAAGATATTAGGCTTAATAACATTAGTAAATTTCTTCTATTAAACTTGACATGGATACATTTTAAAATCCAAGAAAAAAGAATGTACCCATATAAGTTTAAAAATGGTTTAAAAAAAATTGAATAGATTTTATATAAAAAAAGGTACATTTTATATATAACAAATTGGTATATTTAAGAATGAGTACATTTTAAGATTAAAAAAAGTTTTACATGAATGGGTACATATAATTAGCATGGGTCCATTTAGCAAAAAAATTAAAAAAATATATATATGGGTACATATACAAATAAACTATAAAATATGGGTACAAATTAAAATTGAAAAAAAAAATTGGTACAAATTAAAAAAGAATTATAAATTAAAAATGGGTACAAACTAAAACTAAAAATATATGATAAAAAAATTGGTCATAAATATAAATATACTAATTGTAACATTTTTAACATTAAATAAACGTATTTAGAAATAAAAAAAATATTTTATTATTGAAATCATTAATGATATTATTAATATGCAAGGACTTGATCAAAAATTGAAAAAGAATAGGATTAGTAAAAGGAAAGATGAGAACCGAATTTCTCCTTAAAAAAAATAAACAGTTTTTAGTTATGATAATTGTACAAGGAAAATACGTTAATAGCAAGTGCGTGTGAACAAATTAAACATACTTATAATTTTGCGAATCCCAACCGGACAAATCGGTGGCTCTAGCAAGAGCGGACCTCCAGCTCTGCACCTCCTTCACGTCAACGTTAGAATGGTGTTCATGTTTAGCAAAAGCTTCTGCAAAACTTCCCTCGAGTTTACGGATATCGGATGGATTGACTTGGTAGAATACAGGCACCACTATCTGCTTGTGTGTATCCATGCATTCCATTATCTGGACGAGTTCTTTCAAGCACCACGTCGAGGAAGCGTAGTTTTCGGAAAAAACTACGATCGATAGCCTCGAGTTGCTAAGAGCTGTAAGGAGCTCCGAAAGGTCGTTGCCTTTTCGAAGCTCTTCGGCGTCGATGAAGGTGTTGATTGCTTTCTGATCCAGAGCTTTGTAGAGATGGCCGACGAAGATCTTACGTGTGTCTTCGCCTCTAAAATTGAGAAAGACATCGTATTTCCAACGACCTTCGGATGAAGAAGAAGGAGAAAAAGCAGCCATTAACAAGCACGGGATCGATCGCAGAAAAAACTCTGTAAGCGATGATCGACGCTAGAACTGAAGTACTCGGATGGATGCTCAGGATTATAAGTCAACGACCCCCTCCCTCCATTGTCTTCACTGCAAAAAAAATAAGAAAACTGATTGGATGAGATGAAATAACTGTCCAGAGATGCTCAGATTTGACTTTGTGGAATGGGCTAAAATGCATATCAACAATATTTGACTACTTAAAAATGTGTAGGAACTCCTACTCAAAATTTTTTAAAATTGTTTGTTGTCAATTTATAGAATTTTGTGTTTATAATCAAAACCGTTCATATTATAAATCACTATATAAAGATCGTCTTTGCAAAAAAAAAAAAAATCAATTAAAACTAAGATCGTTTAGTCATCAAACTATTTAAAAACAAATAAACGGTATTGATAAAAGCATTATGAACAGTCTATGTATTTGCTACAATAGATTGACTAAACGAACTTATAATTTATTTTTTATAGAGATGATCTTTACAATATAATTCATAGTATGAATAGTTCTAATCATAAGTATAAGCTCCATGATTAAAATACTAAAAATTTTGAGTAGAAATTCCTACTCGTCTTTGAGTTGTTCAATGCATAATGACACTGGTTTGATTTGGAAATGTACAAGGCCCAAACCCCACCAGTACTGGTCCCTGATGCTTGATTTTATAGATTTGGAAAGGTCCAATTATTAATTGTAGAGAGGACAATACTTGCACCGATTCCATCGGCTACACCACCTTTTCAGCAATTTTTGCAATTTTCGTATTTAGTTCACTTCTTTTATTTCGTTCTTTTCTGTCTTTGTTGATCACTCTTGTTGTTTTCTGCATTGAAAAGTCACCACCATGAAAGATTATTTAGAGTCGGACATTGCAGCCAGTCAAGTCCTTGTCCTTGTTCCAATGACTGAGATATGATCGACACTCTTAATTGAATGGCGTTTTGTTTGTTGATAATTTGATTTGATCTATGATCAGTGCATGAACTTGATTATTTTCTGATTTGTGCATGAAATGGATGCATTCAAACTCAGGTGCAAAAAGAAACATATCTCCTAATTTTTACTATTTCCTAATATATGGCTCAATTGGAGCTTTGTTCTCTAAACTAAAGATTCATGAGTATTGGTTACTGTCATAATGGGGACTGCATGTGTAGCACTGATTCTTAGATTGTGTTGGATTGTGGAGCAATGATTCTTTCCAGTAACACTATTTAGAATTTCATTCAAAATAAAAGATTTAAAGAGGCAAGAATGGGACAGAATACTAAACGAAGCTATCCAACAAAATTTTTGCTACGCATTGTTAAAGTTTAAGGACAAAGACTGATTATGAATTTTTAGTTGTGGTATCAAACCTTCAATTAACACTTTACAATCCTCTTGACACATGCCTATGCATGTGTCAATTGGCTCTTTTATTGTTTTACTTGTTTTTGGTATTATTGTTTTTATTAAATTAATCACGCCCAGCCCCACTATGTGAACTTATTTTTTTGTGATTTTTTTTTTAAATTTTGAACTCCTAAAGTGAGAAGAATAATTTGAGTATTATAAAAACTTAAGGGCCTGTTTGGTATCCTATTTGAAATTTTTTATCATTTCTCAAAACATTTTTTAAGAACATTTCTTGAAAACAGTTTTCTTGAAGACTCAAAAACTTGATTGGTTTCCAATTTAAAATTTTTAAATCTTACGACTTAAACTATTAACAAAAGGATCTAAAAAGAGGGGGTAGCAAGAGATGTAGAAAGAGGAGAGAGGAAGAAAGAAAGTAAGAGATGATTTAAGGAAAAAGAAAGAAGAGAGAGAATCAGACGAGATAAAGAGGAAGATAAGTGAAAAAAAGAACCTAAAGAATGAAGATAGCAAATTGGAGGAGAGACAAAAAAGATAAAAAAAAAAAAAAAAAAAGAGGAGAGAGAAAGAAGAAAAGAGAGATAGATTTGGAGTGAGAGGGGATGAGGAAGAAAAAAAAAATGAGTTTAAATTTAAAAACTCTAAAAACTCAATTTTTATGTTTTTAGAGAATATACTATATTTTTGAGTTGGTCTTGAGTTCAGTTTTTGAAAATAGTCCTACCAAACAAATTTTTAAAGCCTAAAACTTGAAAATTGTTTTTGAGTTTAAAAGGTTGGATTCAAGTACACTACCAAACAGGCCCTAAACCTTTTTGCCTTCTCCCTTTATATATATAGATAAAATGATCATTTTAGTTAATTTTTCAAATAAAAATGGGGAATTGGCTCAAAATGATGAAAAGACAAATTCCAGTTGCTAAAATCACTTTTTAAAAATTTTAATCGATACATCAACATTTAATGAATAATGTCGTCAACATTTGATCAATATATCGCCATTATGATTCTGATCGTTGTAAAATCCTCGTTTCAAAAAAAAATTATAATAAAAATCTCATACCTTAACCATAACTTCAAGGGAAGAATACATTCAGATCCCTTTGGAAAAAACATAGGATTTATTTCGCGCTCCCTTCAATTTCGTGAACCAAACAGAGCCCAAGTCAAAAGTAATCACGTATGGAATTCATGCCGACAACCTCAACATGTGATGTGTGCACAAAGACTTTAAACAAAGCCATCCATAATGTCACAACAAAGCTACCCTACTGCAAATAGCATGTTTAGTGAATCCCTTCATTAAGAATCTAACCACTAAACCAACTACAGGACATCACAATCTCTGATCAATCTTCCAGCTCCGACACAACGATTCTCACTGTTATCTGGCACCATCAGCATTCAGCTTGAGAGTACTTGGAGGAGGCAGATGCCGAGCAGGACAAGAGGGGAGCCTCAGCAAGTAAATCCTGGGATCTAGGATGCTTTAATTAGCATTACTCAGTCTGCATAATACTTCTTTCCCATTCAAATGCACCAAACCTATCTACATCGTATGTTGACGAGACTAGCAATTCTGATGGTCGTTTGCCTAGCACATTTGAAACTATATCCAAAAGAGAGTGACAAGCATGCAGTTCCTCCATCTTCTGTGAACCAGTTTGTTCCTGCGTAAGATCCTTCCACGGCTGGTAAAATGCCCTGTACAAATTGTATAGCCACCACAAGTTAGATGTCGAACAGGTACATAGCAGTGGAGTTGGTCAACAAAACATCAAATATCAGACAGATTTTTAAACAAATTTTATCAAACTGACAGTGTCAGCTTAGTAATATTTTTTCATCATAGGGTTTCCCAAGTAAACAAAAAGATAACTTATACCCGTATCCTGGAGAAGTCTAAACACTAGCAAATGCAATCAAACTTGATCAATTTCCCAATCCCAATGATCTCAATAAAACATTACGAAATATTAATAGGAAAGGACAAAAAGAGGGTGGAGAACGGTATATATTACCATCTCCAAGAGAGATTTGCTTCAGCAGGGCAACCTATCTTCGACCACAATGATTTCACAACACTTTCATTTTTACAAAAGAACCCTGAACCAGAATATAAAACGGCTGTCAGAGAAAGAGCATAAACATGCAAATGCATTTGATTTTGAGTGCATTGCAAACACCAGTTGAAAAAATGATTTTGCATGATCAAATCATCTTTACTATCCTATGTAATATGTCTAGATCCAAAGCAGCTCACCACTTTCATTCTTTCTGTTTCTATAACAACCTAGAACAAAGCCACATAAAATACACACCATACCTCCGCAACCAATCGATGAGCTTGTTCATGACCAAATACACACAAAACTACGAAGTAAGTCTACATAACTGGAAGTTCATCTATGTGCTCTCAATTGTTCTTACTGAACATCTGAAAAATAGCTGAAAGGACATTTCCTTGACCTGAGACATTGGGAAAAAGTGGTAGCTCTCTCACAAAATCAACCTAATGTCTCACCAGCAGACACATCCATAATGACTATACAAGGGCCAACTCAAGCCCAGTTTCGTACAGTTTTTGACAGAAGATTTGGTTTCCGGGAAATTTTTTTTTCCCCCAAAATTGTTCGGTAAAAAGAATTTGGCCCAAAGCTAAAGGCCCGCGAATTTGTTTTGAGAAAGCTGGTCCAACCCGCTTTTAGGCACTTTGCCTGAAAGGGTATCCAGGGAGAGCATGCCATAGGATCAGTTGAGCATTCTCATTCATTATTATTCCCTGCTTAAATACCATATTGAGTTTCTAAATTAACATTAAGCCTGGGTTACCCCAAATACAGGAAGTCGACCAGTTTTTAATCCAACAATGTATGTTGCCACTCAAACACTCAACTGTATCAATCCAAATGCATAACTAATCAGATGAAAACATGATACCTGTGAAAACCGAGCCATCGTAAAGCAAAAGACTAAGGGCAGCTGCAACTGATGGTAGCATTTGGTGATTTGTGCCTGCAAGCTGTTGGAGGAAAAGAATTGCAGAAGCTAAAATCTCCTCACAACCATATCTGCTTTTGCTCTTTCTTTCAGATGCACTTTCAACAAGCTCCATTAAAGTCTGAAGAGTTTTTAAATTTAACCTCTTTGAAACCTCGGGGTCCAAATCATTGGATTTCCAATCAAGCTTCCCAAGAATTACAGAAGCAGTGAGCCAACGTAGAAGTTTTGATATCAAAGAATTCTCATACAGCTCTTCCTCTGGAATACTAGTTAAACATAGGTGAGATTCTTTAGGCTGATGCATCTTTGCAAAGTCTGCTTCCAAAGCAGCAGAAACTGCCCACATAATAAAACTTGAAATCTGTTCACGGCTCTGAAAAATAATTATAGCAAGTTTTCAGCTTTTTTGGTATGAACAATACAGTGAAGACTAATATTGTATAGTGTATGAGAGAGAGAGAGAGAGAGAGAGAGAGAGAGAATACCAAACAAAATATGTCCACTGGAGGTGCACTCATAAGTATAGCTTTAAGAGCAAGCTCTACTGTACCACAAGATCTTGCATTATCACATATCTTAACAGCCTTATATATGTTATATGAACCCTCAACGGATAGAACAAAATGTGGCTGATATATCCTTCTCTTCTGGGAGATCTTTAGTGTTAATATTATTGCTCCCAGAATTGGATTGACAGCAGCAACGTTATCCTTTATCAGTGTCATATCACTGATAAGAAATTTGAAGAGATGAGATGCAAGTTCCATAAGCTGCTCAAGGGCATATTG